CGACCCCGGGGCCTGACATGGAGGTTCCTGGGTTGGGTAGGAGCCACCCAACATCATGCTTGACGTTGGGTGGCTTCTCCTCCTTTGGGAGGTTCGGGGCTGGTGGGACAGGCCTCTTCTCCTGCTACCAAGTCATCTTGGAGTGCGTGCACTTGGGCATGGTCAAAATGACGACATCACTCAGGTGGATTTCCCGCCTGTTTCCAGTTCCGAAACGGGACTGTGCGGACCTGCTGTTCATTCTGGACTTGTCACGTCTAAACCCCTGGGTTTTTTGCCCCTCCTTTTGGATGACCACTCTGTCCCAGGTCCGGCTTTTTTTGGAGCCGGGCTCTTTGATGGTGTCCCTGGACCTCAAGGACGCATATTGGCACATCCCGATTCATCCTAGATTCAGGGACTGGCTCAGTTTTGTTGTGGGGTGTCAGAGTTACTGCTTTCGTTGTCTCCCGTTTGGGTTGAACCTGGCACCTTGCTTGTTCACTCGTCTTACCCGGGTCGTTGTGGCCCGTCTAACACCTGTTAGGTGTTCGGGTGTTGACTTACCTCAACGACTGGCTGGTTTGGGCTCCCAGTCGGTCCGCGTGTCTGCTTGTCAGGGGTATGGTGCTTTCCCACCTAGCCGGGTTCGGGTTCCTGGTAAACTGGCGGAAGTCCCATCTGGTTCCCTCCCAGGTTCGGACCTGGCTGGGCCTTGTGTGGGACTCTGGAACCACTTCCTTGTCTCTTCCTCCGGAGTCTCTCTCCTTCGACTGTGGTCCCGCATGCGCTGGTTTCTGGGGGACTCTCGAGTCATGCGCAGTCATGCGGCGGTTGCTCGAGGGACCATGCTGGAGCCTGAACTTTGCGATGATGGCTTCGTCGGCTGTTCTGGTTCTTTCTGGGACGTCCCTTTTGCCTTTCTCTCGTGATCACTGAATTCGACCCCCGGGGGCCTTACATCAGCTGCTGCGTCACCGGCTTCCTCTTTAGGTTTTTTTGGGGTTCAGTGCCTTGGCGCTTACCCGAGTCCTCACTCGATGTATTCATGGTCTCTTGGCTAGGGCTTTGTGACCAGTGCTCACCAAGCTGGCCAGGGGCGGTGGGGTCCATCCTTCCGTTGTGCCCACAGCACGGTGTGGGAGTTCGCGGCGGTGTGATTTGCGCTTCAGAGGGTTCGGGTCGCCCGGGGATCGATGCTCCAGCTCCATTCGGACTGCTCCTTGGTGGTTCATTGCCTGAACCGAGGGGGGTTTGATGCAGTCCTTGGCTCTTTGGGGTTGGTCGCTTCAGGTGACTCATCTGCTGAGTTTTCTGGGGTTGGCTCTCCTGGCAGTTCACGTCCGGGGGGTGTCCAACATCCTAGCGGATGGCCTGTCCCGGTTCGTTCCCCTGTCCGCGGAATGGATGGTCGACGCTGACTCATTCAGTTGGCTCTGCCAGATGTTCGGGTGCCAAGAGGTGAACCTCTTTGCCCGGTGTCCGAACCCGGAGGTTTTCCACGGCCCCGCCTCTGTCAGAAGATCGGCCTGGTCTGTTACGAGACTGGTTCGCTCTTCTCCTCGAGTCTTCTTGTTTGTTTCTTTTTACTCGAGTTTATCACCAGTTGTATGGTGATCAGGTAGCTTTGTTGATGGTGTCCCACCTGTGGGCTTCATCTCAGTGGCAGTATGAAGTTTCCTGGCAGTCCTTCCGTTTCTTTTTGACTCTTCATCGTTGGACTTTGCTTTCGGTTTGGGTGACGTTGTCCTTTCTTTCGTGATTGTTTCTGGACCGTCATCTTATGCCGAATACTGTCACCTCATATCGTGCGTTGTATCACCTCCGACCTGCTCATGCTCCGCCTGAGCCATCCTGGTCTTTGGATAGAGTGTTATCCTATCTCTCTTCTCTTCGGTTTGTTGTGGCCCCTTCGGTTCAGGAATATTTTTCGAAAGATCTTTTCATGTTGGCATTGGCCTCTGGGGGTCGGGTCAGGGAGCTTCATGCTCTCCTCCGGCGTAGGGGTTTCTGCTCTTTTGGTCGTGGAGATGGGTTTGCTTGTCTGCAGCCGTTTCCCTTTTTTATGAAAAATGAGACTGCTGCTTTCCAGAGAACGCCTTGGGTTGTTGATGCTTGGTTGGTCAGGCCTGGGGTGTGTTTTGTGTCCGGTCGCGGCCCTCCGCCGTTATTTTCGCGCCACAGCTTCTGTGTCTGGGGACGTGCTTTGGGTTGATCCGGTTTCCCTTCTTCCCTGTTTGCGGGTACGGGTCTCTTAGGTTGTCCGCAGGGTTAAGTCTAGCCAACCTGTGGTCTATCTCCATGCCCATGATGTTCGTAAGTTCACTGCTCTTGCTGCTATTTTTGGGAACATGTCCTGGGCTGACATTCGGGCACGGGGTTTTTGGCGGTTGAACAGGGTCCTGGCTGCATGCTACCTCATGAACGTTCCTGGGCCTAGTCACTTTAGGGCAGCGGCTGAAGCCTGTCTCGACTTCAAGTTGGGGTGTGGAGCACCGACCGCCTCCTGGGTAAGTCCCATTTTTTCCTTAGTCTTTGGTGAAGTAGCTCTGGGGAGCCGTAGGGGCTCCCCCCAGAAAACCAGCGTTGAATGTAAAGAAATGCCACTTTCTGGGTGAGTTCCGGAGACTCCCCAGCAAACCTCCCTCCCTCCGGTCAGCAGTTTTCGCGTATTTTGATATCCAGCCTCAGAACTGAAGGTGCAGATCGCTGGCGCGAGGGTCTGGGGCTCCCCTTTTCCCCTCCTGGGGAGGGGAGGAGCTACGCACACATGTGGTGCGGCTCGTGTGACATCATGCTTATTTTCTTGTTTTCCCTTGGAGAGTTCTGTCCATTTGTTTCGTTATTTTCATTGGTTTTACCAGAATAGGGATTTATTTTGAGGCACTTACTTTTCTAGGTGCCTGTCCCGGTCGATGGCAGATATAGAATGCTCCAAAATCACATGTGCATTTCTATGGGCCATTGCTCCTCGCGCCTCTCTGAGGGGGCCAGGTTCTGGTCATGGTCCCCAGAAGGCCTAGAACTCCACCCACATCGACTGATGCCAAAAGTTAGGACTATCCCTATCAGCCTGGATAGCTCCGGGAAGCCTCCGGGACTCACCCAGAAAATGGCATTCCATTACATTCAACGCTTTTTTTTTTATAATCAAGTTGGTTTGAGGCAAGCTGATGTACCACTCTGGAGACACTGATGGTCCTATATAATGACACTGGAGTAATGATGGTCCAATGTTGTGCCACTTAGTAGCAAACTTACAGCACTATGTAGTGTTACTTAAGTGCACACTTTTGTGTAGTGCCACTCAGTAGTACTGATGTTCCTGTGCAGTGCCACTTAGGAGCACTGATGGTCCTGTATAGTGCCACTCAGTAGTATGATGGTCCTGTGTAGTGCCACTCAGTAGTATGATGGTCCTGTGTAGTGCCACTCAGTAGTATGATGGTCCTGTGTAGTGCCACTCAGTAGTACTGATGTTCCTGTGTAGTGCCACTCAGGAGCACTGATGGTCCTGTGTAGTGCCACTCAGTAGAATGATAGTCCTGTGTAGTGCCACTCAGTAGTATGATGGTCCTGTGTAGTGCCACTCAGTAGTACTGATGGTCCTGTGTAGTGCCACTCAGGAGACAGATGGTCCTGTGTAGTACCTCTCTGGAGCACAGATGGTCCTGTGCAGTACACCTCAGGAGCACAGATGGTCCTGTGTAGTACCTCTCAGGAGCACAGATGGTCCTGTGTAGTACCTCTCAGGAGCACAGATGGTCCTGTGTAGTACCTCTCAGGAGCACAGATGGTCCTGTGTAGTACCTCTCAGGAGCACAGATGAACCTGATGTGTAGTACCTCTCAGCATTGTGTGGTCCTGTGTAGTGCCACTCATGATCATAGATGATTCTGTGTAGTGTCACACAGGAACAAAGATATTATTATGTAGTGCCACATAGGATTGCTGATGGCCCTGTGTAGTGCCAATGAGGAACACTGATGGTAAAGTGTAGTGCCACTGATGGTCCTGTGTAGTGCCACTAATGGTCCTGTGCAGTGTCATTGATGGCCCCTGTGTAATGCTAGTGAGGAACATTTTGTATGTAAGATGTACATAATGTGTTTAGTCTTGCATTATAACATACCTTTAATTGATCACGTCTTAAAACGTGTGTAAACATTTATTCCATGTACGCATCAATGATTTAACTAGACTGATTTCTTTCATACAACTGCTGTATAAACATTATTTCATGATAGGTCTAATAGAAGGAAATGTTTAGCATTTTGGTGGCATAAATAATGTGTATATTTAAATGATTATATTCTGTGTTTATGTTTGCTTTGAATTATCGCTGTCACACTACAGTGAAAATACGAAAAGTGGCTACATAATTTGCAGGTAGTATCCATGTAATTCGTTGATTTGTTTGGTAAATGTTTTAAATCACGAGACCGCTATTTCAGAATGACTTTGAGTTCAAAAAGGGATTGATAATATAAGAGCATCTTTTTTTAATTTAACTACTGTATACAATTTAACATTTTCTTTACAACTTTTATGTTGCAAACCTAGTTGATGCTAGTGTTGACCTTGTATCCTGGAACCACCGCAAGGTAACCGGATGCTAGTGTAGCTTACCTAGCTGATGCTAGTGTAGCTTACCTAGCTCATGCTAGTGTAGCTTACCTAGCTCATGCTAGTGTAGCTTACCTAGCTCATGCTAGTGTAGCTTACCTAGCTCATACTAGTGTAGCTTACCTAGCTCATACTAGTGTAGCTTACCTAGCTCATGCTAGTGTAGCTTACCTAGCTCATACTAGTGTAGCTTACCTAGCTCATGCTAGTGTAGCTTACCTAGCTCATGCTAGTGTAGCTTACCTAGCTCATACTAGTGTAGCTTACCTAGCTCATACTAGTGTAGCTTACCTAGCTCATACTAGTGTAGCTTACCTAGCTCATACTAGTGTAGCTTACCTAGCTCATGCTAGTGTAGCTTACCTAGCTCATGCTAGTGTAGCTTACCTAGCTCATGCTAGTGTAGCTTACCTAGCTCATACTAGTGTAGCTTACCTAGCTCATACTAGTGTAGCTTACCTAGCTCATGCTAGTGTAGCTTACCTAGCTCATGCTAGTGTAGCTTACCTAGCTCATACTAGTGCTGGTTACCTTAGTTGATGCCAGTGTAGGTTAGCAGCTAGTTGATGCCAGTGTAGGTTAGTAGCTACTTGATGCCAGTGTAGGTTAGTAGCTAGTTGATGCCAGTGTAGGTTAGTAGCTAATTGATGCCAGTGTAGGTTAGCAGCTAGTTGATGCCAGCGTAGGTTAGCAGCTAGTTGATGCCAGTGTAGGTTAGTAGCTACTTGATGCCAGTGTAGGTTAGTAGCTAGTTGATGCCAGTGTAGGTTAGTAGCTAATTGATGCCAGTGTAGGTTAGCAGCTAGTTGATGCCAGTGTAGGTTAGCAGCTAGTTGATGCCAGTGTAGGTTAGCAGCTAGTTGATGCCAGTGTAGGTTAGTAGCTAGTTGATGCCAGTGTAGGTTAGCAGCTAGTTGATGCCAGTGTAGGTTAGCAGCTAGTTGATGCCAGTGTAGGTTAGCAGCTAGTTGATGCCAGTGTAGGTTAGTAGCTAGTTGATGCCAGTGTAGGTTAGTAGCTAGTTGATGCCAGTGTAGGTTAGCAGCTAGTTGATGCCAGTGTAGGTTAGCAGCTAGTTGATGCCAGTGTAGGTTAGCAGCTAGTTGATGCCAGTGTAGGTTAGTAGCTAATTGATGCCAGTGTAGGTTAGCAGCTAGATGATGCCAGTGTAGGTTAGTAGCTAGTTGATGCCAGTGTAGGTTAGCAGCTAGTTGATGCCAGTGTAGGTTAGTAGCTAATTGATGCCAGTGTAGGTTAGCAGCTAGTTGATGCCAGTGTAGGTTAGTAGCTAGTTGATGCCAGTGTAGGTTAGCAGCTAGTTGATGCCAGTGTAGGTTAGTAGCTAATTGATGCCAGTGTAGGTTAGCAGCTAGTTGATGCCAGTGTAGGTTAGTAGCTAGTTGATGCCAGTGTAGGTTAGTAGCTAATTGATGCCAGTGTAGGTTAGCAGCTAGTTGATGCCAGTGTAGGTTAGTAGCTAGTTGATGCCAGTGTAGGTTAGCAGCTAGATGATGCCAGTGTAGGTTATCAGTTAGTTCATGCCAATGTAGGTTACCTAATTGATGCTAGTTATTGACCTACAATAGTTAATACTAATCTAGCTACTTAGCTACAGTAGTTGATAGTAGTGCAAAATTCATTATATTTAGTTACATTCTCTGAAGTGTTTAGTGATATGGAAAAGGCTCATACTTGTTACTAATTTAGTGTTTGAGCCTCTGACTACAGTGTGGCGATAGTCCTAATATTACCTCTCTAGTATTTTGTGATGTATAACGTGTGTGCCAAAGGGGATATTATGTTGTACTTAAGGGATAAGTTTGACATTCTTGTAGCACATGCAAATATGAACTGTATTCTTAATGCAGAATTTCTAGTTTAGCAAAATAGTAGATGTTGGGGTTTAATTAAGAAGGTCCTTAGCTTCATAATTTTCAACTCTTGTTAATACAGTTATAGTCCTATCAGTGATTTATGTGTCTGTTGTGTGTTATTAAAGGCTAGTTTTTGAGTGATCTGAAATTATTAAAATAAGATGAATTATCTTTTATTTTATTTATTTGTATCTTGAGAAAAAAAAAAATCCTGCAACAAATTAACTTTATTGGTTTATGAGTAATTTGGACTATTGTAATATGAAAGGCAACTTTAACTAGTTGTGAATGTTCAGGTCATTTGTTTCAATACATTTGTTTAACTTTTGCTGACTATTCACTGTTTCCAGTATTTATATTCAAAACAATTAAGATAATCATATCACAAAACTATACTGTATAGACAATATAATGCTCAAGTACAGTACTGTTTGATATTGGGTCCTGAATGACAAAACAGTTTGTGCATTCTTCCCCACAGCTTCATGCTCGTGGCCGGCACCTTGACATCACGGTCCCTTGCAGTCACTTGTACCCCGATACAATCCTTGGTGAATTGGATGCCTTTGATGTCTCTCATCTTATGTTATTTTGCTCTCGTTTTGGCATCCTAAGTAATATTTAGGACCTCTTGGATATCCTGCAACAGACATTGCCGGTCTTCCTAGCTTGGTGCCATCTTTTGATAATTGCAGTATAGTACTTGCCTACCTGACTTGGCAAAGGAGGCTCAAATACTGTACTTTAGATTCAGATTCAGATGTTTATTCAGGTAAGGTATATACATACAAGTGATGTTACATTAATGGATTGATATATAGATAGAGCTAGTACATACAATGCCTAAAGCCACTATTACGCAATGCGTTTCGGGCAACTTTAATTGTTTAAAGGACAGTTGAGGGGAATGATAAAACTTCTCAAATATCTTCCAGGCTTGTCTTGTCTTCATATGATGAAAACAATTATACATCATATGAAGATATGATGCCCAGCCTTCCATCACAGTCCGACTCTGGGGCCTGGTTGCCTAACCCACGAGTCTGGGAAGTTGAATGAGGGTCAGAAATCAACATAGAACAAACATGAATATAATTTAATTTTGGACATTTTGCACACATTTCTTTTATTAGCAAGAGCAGACACGCGGGCATCACTTTCATATTTTGCTATGAGTTCTTTTTTCGTCTCAATCTTGGTTCAAACTAATTTTCTTTTTGCTTGGCTCTTATCTACTAACTTTCACTAAATTTCTCTGGTGCCATGGTGTCTTATTTATACTAAGAATATAAAAAATATCCAAGAAAGCTTAGAGAAATCTAGTGGTGTTGTGCACTGAACAACAGCTATGGCAAAACTGACGAGGGATGTATGTTTACGTGTAAGTGCCCAGCAAATGGACGAGTACTGAATGTGAACATAGTGTTCAAGTGCCAAAATGTTCTAGTTGGGGGGTGTTTGAGTACCAAGTAAGTAATTATCCAAAGAAGGCAACAAACCGGGAAGGCTATGTAGCATCATCAAATGTGCGGGATAATCAGAGGGCGCTAAATATCACCAAGGATGCCAATACGAGCACAGAAACGCATAAGGCGAATGATACCAAAAGTATCTGAGTCAACAAGAATACTATCGAGGGACAAGCGACCGCAGGGGACGGTCGGAAAACAAGACAAATGCTCGTCCTGGAAGTCAGAACATTCAACAAGGATATGCACGACCGTAAGAGGGACAAAGCAATTTGGTCAATAAGAAGCAGGGCGGCGCTCTATCAAGTGACCATGAGTTAAGCGAGTATGGTCAATACGCAACCTCGCCAGAGCCGTTTCCCATCGTCGGTTATGGTGGTAGGACAACAGCCACGAGGACACAACTCTTAAGTGTACGCAGTTTGTTTCCAGTAACAGAAGACCAACAAGCCTGCCAATGGGTAAGGATGGAAGAATGGATAACAGGGTAAAAATCGGAATAAGGAATACCTTTATGAGAGATGGGACAAGAGCGGACAGCTTCCCTGGCGGCAGCATCCGCACGCTCATTTAAAGAGACACCAATATGGCTGGAAACCCAACAAAACTCAACCGACTTAAATTTACTGAGAATAAGAAACAGCCAATGCTGGATCTTGACAACCACTGGATGAACCGGATTAAAGGACCCGAGAGCCATGAGGGCACCATGAGAGTCATCAACAACTACAAAGGAAGATTGACAACGAGAAAGCAGGAGACGAAGAGCATAGAGAATAGCATAAAGTTCTGCTGTGAAGATGCTAGTCTCCAGAGGTAAGCGACACATATAAGTGCAATCAGGAAAAACAACAGAGTAGCCTACACCGTCCGCAGACTTAGACCCATCGGTGAAGACGGAAATGGAGCGGGAGTGAGAAGAAAAGTACTCAAGGAAAAGGTGTTTGAGAACCGTATGAGGGGTAAAAGCTTTAGTGATGCGTGTTAAGGATGTACAAAACTGCGGAAGGGGGACTCTCCACAGGGGCAAAGAAAGAACAACACAAGGAGAAATATTAGAAATACAAACTGAAAGAGAATCCTGTAAGTGAAATAACCGGACAGAAAGAGGGAGGTGGTGAAGAGGAACCGCAGGAGGGGCCAAAGTTAAAACACAACAGAGGCGAGAGGAAGATGTTGCAGGGACTGTGCAAGATAACGAAGACAGTAGCGATCACGGCGGTCCTGGAGAGATAGGAAGCCAGTGTCAACATACAAGCTGAGGCAGGAGTCGAACGAAAGGAACCAGAACTGAGGCACAACCGAGTATGGTGCAAAGCATCAAGATGGCAAAGATTAGGAGGAGAAGCAGACGAGTAAGCAGGGCAACCATAATCGAGCTTAGACAGGACGAGAGAGGAATGTAAAGCGAGTAGAGTGCACCTATCCGCTCCCCAAGAAGTATGGGACAATACCCGAATAATCAGAATCCTGGTTCACACACTGGAACACAGTCCAAATGGAGTCAGAGCATGAAACCTGGAAGAATCTAAATCCTCCTCAGAACATATCACGCAGCACTATACTGTGTGCCCAACCGTAAGGGAAAGACCAACGACCCTGAGCAGCCAGGTGAGCAGTGGACACGAAGCTCTGACTCAGAGCAAAGGCATTCGTGAAGATGTCAAACGAGGGAGGAAGGCCCCATAGAATAGAACCCCGAAATGCCCAAATTGTGACGCAGCAGCCAAAAAAGGGCAACTGGGGTTCAAACCCAGTAGTCCTGGCTGTGTCAATAGGGAGAGAACCATAGAAACTAGAACAGCAACAAAGTCACACCCTGCCCAATGGAAAAACCAAACAAGCAAAGTTCTGGCTCCCACACAACTACTTGAGCAATTGCAGTCACCTGGGGCCTCCTCAACGCCAACAGGTGGCGGCACTGCCGCCAAAGCAACGCCATCCACAGTGGAAAGGAAAGTGATGCTGACCAAGTCCCATACGAGGCACAGCAAAGTCCAAATCTGGGACGGAACCAATTGGGACTTATGGTATCAGGAACCTGAACCCAGCAAGCTGAGAAAGCACCAGATCCCTGGCTAGCAGACACACAGACGGACTGGGGGCCCACAATAGCAAGTTAGCAAAGTAGGCCAAAACAAAAACCCACAATGAACACAAGACAAGAGACGATTTGAGCCAACTTGGTAAAAAAAAACAGGGAGCCAAATTCAAGACAAAAGAAAGGACTGAAAGCAGTAGGCTTGCCACCCCCACAACAAATCATAACCAATATCTGAATCCAAGATGAATAGGGACATGCTAGTATATGTCCCAGAGGTCCAGGGAACTCATCCAGGTGCCCACCTCCAGCAAGAGGCAAACTTGGGCCAAAGTGGTTATCTGGAATGTGGAGTGAACTGGTTCAACCCCAACACATCAAGGATGAACTGGAGTACTGTTCTGCCAAGTTCTGTTTTGGAACCTGGAAGAGATTGAATACCCACCAAAGAGACATGGTAGTCTTGACCATGAAGGAAGCAACCCACTCTGTAATTACTTGATGCAGGCAAGGGGAAGAGGCTTGCCTCGACAGCACCGACTCCAAAAGGTGGGAGTTACTGTCCAACTCTACTGCAGGCCATGCAAAACAACCTGAAAAGCCCACAAATCACGGGACCAGGAACTGGCAAACCAGGCGAGCCACCCCCTACTGCCCCATCAAAGGGGTGAACTGTGAACATGCTGGCAAAGCAGGAGCACAGTGCCAACTAGCAGAGGACAAACCAGTCACAGGAGGTTCATACGATCCAGAATATGGCTCCACTGAGGACCTACCTCGACCAACAGCAGGTGAAGCCCTAAGCTTTATCCGACCACCTCCAGAAACAAGAACAAAACCCACATGAACATAAATCAGAAATTGGCTGACAAGAAGCAGCCGAAAAGGACAAGAGCTCAGCAACATCAACCCCAGGAAATAGAAGAAGCAAAATGAAAGTCAAGGACCCAGACAAATCCAACACAGCCTGTTGACTTGCAAGTTGAACAGCGTGCAACGCGACCACCACCTCCCGAAGCATGGGCACATACAGCTTGGGCAAAGCTGCAGACGACACCACAGTAGACACCAAAGCACACCCACTACTTAGTTTTTATGATAGAGCCACAGAGATTCTACAGGGAAGAGATGGTTGGGTTGACTGTGTCTATCTGGACCTAAAAAAGGCTTTTGAGTCGCACACAAAAGGTTGTTTTGGAAACTGGAACATGCTGGATGGGCAACAGGAAGACTTCTGACATGGATGAAAAATTTTCTAACTGACAGACAGATGAAGGCAGTAATCAGAGGCAATATAAAAGTACCACAGGGTTCATATGTTGCACCAGTAATGTTCATTGTCTACATAAAATGATATACCAGAATGAATACAGAATTATATGAACATGTTTGCGGATGATGCTAAAATACTGGAGAAGGAGAATCAAACGATTGTAATGCCCTTTAAATTGATCTAGACAAAATAAGTGCTTGGAGCGACATGTGGCAAATGGAATTCAGTGTAAATAAATGCCATGTTATGAAATGTGAAATCAGAGAAAATAGACCACACACAACTAACAAATTATGCGGAAAGGAATTAAAGAATTCTAATAAAGAACGAGATCTAGGGGTGGTTTTGGATAGTAAACTGTTGCCAGAGGAACACGCACAAAGAACATTGTGAAAGGAGCGTATGTGTCGCTTTCCAACTTCAGACTTGCTTTTAATTCCATGCATAGTGAAATACTAAGGAAACTGTTCATGACTTACGTGGGACCAAAATTTCAATATGCAACAATTGTATGGTGCCCATATCTCAAGAAGCACATCAATAAACTGGAAAATGTGCAAAGGCATGCTTCAAAATGACTCCCAGAATTGAAAAATAAGAATTACGAGGAGATACTAGAGGAGTTAAATATGCCAAAACTAGAAGATAGAAGAAAAAGTGATATGATCACCACTTACAAAACACTAACAGGAATCAACCAAATTGACAAAGAGGAACTCCTGAAACCAGCAACTTCAAGAACAAGAGGACACAGATTCAAGCTAAGGAAACATATGTGCCAAAAAAATATTAGAAAGTTTTCTATTACAGACAGAGTGGTAGATGGGTTGGAACAAGTTAAGCGAGAAGGTGGTGGAGGCCAAAACCATCAGTAATTTCAAAGCGTTGTACGACAAAGAGTTCTGGGAAGACGGGACACCACGAGAGTCCATCTCATCCTGTAACTACACTTAGGAAATTACTAGAGGCAAGCACTTCAATGTCATGGTGGAGCCAAGCAGAATGGAACTCCACGAGGGCCAGAAGCTGCATGACTGAGGCCAAGTGGGAGTGAGCACAAAGATTCTTTGCCATGAGAGCTGCCAACAGCAAAGGGAACTGGGCATGGAGCTACACCAAACCCACATCCCAGGAAAGAGCGGGAGCAAACGGACAATCATCGAGAAGCTCAAAACACCCGAAATAGTCACCACTTCGTGCCACTCAAGCCACGCCAAGCCCTAAAGGAAAAAAAGAAGACTGCCTGCTAGCCAGGAAGACTCCAAAACCTTGTAGCACATCCAATAAGGAGAAGGCCCAAATTCAAAAGATTCCGAGTCATCATAGAGGCAAACTCTGGGCCTGGCAGGAGGTAAATGAAGGGATTCGAGAGGATGGAAACCTCCAGACGGATGGTCCTGATGGGCCTAGCAGCACATGGAAACAAATCCTGAGGAAAGCTGCACTGAGACCAAATTCATACAAGGAGTTTGTATGAGAACGCACATAAGAACCCTTTTCCCTTGAAGCAAAAGGCCCTCATCTGAAGGGGCAAAGATCTAACTGGGGTTTTAGGGGAACCCAAGGCCCCCTAGCTCCGGAAACCAAACATGAAGGCTTCGGGGCAGAGCCGGAGTCCATGCAAACTCTAAAAAAGTGGAGCCCATAGGAGAGGCCTCAGATGGGGCTGGCTGGAAAGAAAACCCCAAAACCTCAGCAGAACCAGCCTGTTCAATTGCTTCCACATCAGTTGGAAGGAGCCACCCCCTGGAGATGGCCGAGCCACACCCCAACCTAAACCCTGCCCTGACCTGGAAACCCTTGGGTGTTTTGGGCCAGAAGCCAGGGGGAAGGGTAAGATCAGGGCGCAGAGCGAATGACAACCAAAGGGGAAGGAAAAGGAGGAAGATGAGGACGGAGCCAATGAGGAGTTCACCAAAACCTCCAATCTCAGGTCCCTAAACAGGTGGGCCAGCTGCAAGGTATCCAACGTAGACTGCTGAAGGTGGGCAATATGAACCAGTAAAGCAGTAGCTACCTGATATCCTTGAACTTCCTCAGGAGGGTCAGAGAGAAGAGCCACATGGGAAGTGCAAACCCCACAAGACTCTGAGCCATGGGTATCTTTGACCAAACAAGCAGCATGGTGGAGACAGAGCGAATGATTGTCAACCCACTGCACAGACAACAAACAACCCTCAAATTTGTATAAGACGAGAACAGATTCAGAGGGAATTTCCATAGGCCACACTGAACCTGTAGAGAATTTCTATGGCCTGAAGGGTCATAGAAATTCCTGAGGAAAGTAAGTGGAGTAAAGAAAGTAAGTGGAGCCGGCCGGCCGAGCAGACAGCACACTGGACGCGTGAACCTGTGGTCCTGGGTTCGATCCTGGGCGCCGGCGATAAACGATGGGCAGAGTTTCTTTCACCATATGCTCCTGTTACCTAGCAGTAAATAGGTACCTGGGGTTAGTCAGCTGTCACGGGCTGCTTCCTGGGGGTGGAGGCATGGTCAAGGACCAGGCCACGGGGGGGACTAAAGCCCCGAAATCAACTCAAGATAACCTCAAGATAAGGTTAATAAACCAATGATACCCAAGCACTGGGAGGATTCTACTCCAGACCAAATGGTAAGCCTACAAAGTCTGGGCTACACGGCAATGAAGGCTGACCTCAGCATGCCATATGTACAAGCTAGTCAACCACCAGTGTTGCCTAACCATCCAACACTCACTCCGGACCTGGACCAAGACAGAGAGGCAATTAGGCCACTGACTCACCGAAGGCAAGGGCCATCTCAAGCAGGATAGACCTTCTACTCTCAAACACACCAGTGAAGAGGACTATCAGTGCAAGGGCAGTACTAGAGAGCACCCAGAAAAGGCAGCCCTGAGCACATGCACCTCCAAGCACTTGGAAGGCCAGGCCCATGCTACACCAACAATATACAATCCAAGGCCACACAGGACAAAAGTCCAAAAAGGCATTTAGCTGAAAAGCACTGGGACCTGCTATGGCTTAGTGACGACCCAGAAGCCCTACTACAATGTTGTTCACACTACATCAGTGACAGAACTGATTGCTCTAGTCAGGGAATATGAACCCCAGCCCCCTTCCCCCAAACAAGTGGGGTAATGAGAATGAGTGCATGCTTATTTCAAGAGATTCAATCATTTGTCTACATTATTGGGAAAAGTTCATTTGGTTGGTTGTGAAACTTCGGTCTCTTTGAACTCAGCAGTGGTCTGTAATGGTTCACTGACTTTCTGGATGCCTTCCCCATTAAGGTGGCAGTGTCACCTGCTTCCCACGACACAGAAAGGGGCCAGGTTCCGGCTCAGATCCCCGGTAGGCCGAACAGAACTCCACAGCTGATGCAATCTAGTAGTATGGAGCCATCTCGGCAAGATTGCTTCGGGGAACCACAAAGAACTCTTCCCAGAAAAGCCAATGGTTTACATAAATATAGGATCAGAGCCAGAGGGCTATGTACACGAAACTGGAGTTACAAGTGTGATGTGTTGCCAGCATGTGATAAAATTCAAATTTATGCCATGCTCCTATTGTAGTTGCTTGGGGCTATGATGCATGTATTGGTGGAGAGAGAAATGGCTGTTTGGGCCTTATGGTGAACATGTTGTGTATTGCAGTATTTTGCATGCTACAGGAGCAGGAACTTTGCATTATGTAATGTACATATTTTTTGGTAGACCATCTTTGTGAAGAGCTATGGCATATATTTGTATCTTGTATTTTTACAGCTTTATAAATGTTTGCTTAACCTATTACCTGGAGAGCCTCAAGAGTTTTTTTTACACAGTGAGGCTGGCCTGAGGCCAGGTTCAACTTGTGATAATGTGGTTAAACAAACTGTTGCTTGCAACTGCCCGTAGTCCCACATATCCACTACAGTCCAGTTGGTCTGGTGCTTCTTGCAAGAATTTATCTAATTGGTTCTTGAAGAAGTCCACCTTTGTTACGGCAATATTTCTATTGCTAGCTGGGAGGGTGTTGAACAGCTGTGGACATCTGATGTTCAGTGTTCTCTGATTGTGCCTATGGCACCTCTACTCCTCACTGGTTCAATTCTTCATTTCCTTCTGTACCCATTTGATCTAGTATGTTGTTATTCTATCGTGCAAATTTGGGACCTGGCCCTCCAGTACCTTTCATGTATATATTATTTGGTACCTTTCTTGTCTCCTTTACAGAGAGTACATCTTGAGAGTTTTGCGACAATCCCAGTAATTTAGGTGGCTTATCGTTTCGATGTGTGCCGTATATGTTCGCTGTACAGTATTCACCTCTTTCAGAAATCTCTACTGTGCTGAAAGGGAGTACTGTACTGAGCAAACAGTTGACCTGTTTCTGGAGCTGGCGACTGTATTGAGTTCATTCACACAGTCCACAGCTAAGATATGCATTGGTTGTCCTATCTTATACTGTATATATATTTAATAAGGAGAAAAACACACACATTATGTAAATTGTATAATTGCTCCATTTAATGATCTGCATTCTCTTAACATATTTTGTCTCACATCTGAGGCATTGTAGACAGATTACAAATAACACACACACAACTAGTTACAGACTAATTATTCAATACATTCAACATGCAACTGCAGCAGATCTGTCTATCAGCACACATGAGAATTACAGGCTGCTTTTCCAGTGAGCACAATAATTAGCTTACATACTTCACCTGAGAATAGAACTACTTGTTCAATGGAACTTATTATAAAAATCCATGCAATGTTCAGTCTCACAAGAGATGTGCTTTATTTAACTATACTGTACCATCTTTTCAGCCCATCCTCTTGAGCATTCACAACATTACTTAACTGATGTACTGAATTGCCCAAACCTAACCTAACAGAATCCATAATAGAAAACAGGACATCACACCAATTCTGAGAGCCACTATGATTTTTAGTACATGAGTTTTTGGCCTTAGTGGATTTATATGTTAAAATGTGATGTACTATTCAAGAGGATGAATTCATCTTTTAGTTGTGATAATTGATGACATAGATACTTGACCAATATATGTACATTCCATAGTACAGCAAACTAGCCAGAAAATACATATTCATATTTTAATTAACAATAATTAATATCAATGACTGGTTAATTGCACTTTTAATAATGGAAGTCTTACACTTGATATACAAAAAGTTATCCAGCTTAAATTTTTTGTTGCAAATTTTATAATAAGAATAATTACAAAATATCAAGATTGGCATCTAATTTACACAAGCAGGAAGTTTGTACCATATTTCTAATAATCACTACAGTTCTAGGTGAATTGAACTGCTGTACAGCCATAGAAAGACTTACAGCTTCCAATTAGGAAGGTGAGATTTAATTTCAACTATCACAAACTGTACTTGCTCTTGGTCAGCCACACTAATACATGAAGCTTTCCTGACAACTTATAAGGGGCCCCTATTAGCTGTAGCTGGCCTGGGACTTGCATTGGGACTGAGATTACCAATACTGGTTGATCTGGGGCACTCTACCATTGAACTTTTCCCCTCCTGTTCAGGATTCTGATTACTTATTCCCAAGTCATCAATGTCACGTCACGAGAGGGTAACCTTTCCTTGGCAATCAACTATTAAAAAAATTTGCTTTTGATTATGTTCATTACACTAATATATTCTACAGCGAGTAACTGGTTCTGACATTTACATTTTAGTATGGCAATATTTTATTACAACTTTATGTCCATTTAATATGAATAAGTTGAAAACCTAATGTGGCAAAATGTACAGCTGCAGTTTACCTTCTGTTGATCTGGTCTAAACAGCAGTTTACCCTGCTTAGACCAGACCAACTGATCCTAACAGTGGTTCAGTGTTAGTCAGGTCCAGCCAGTGGTTTACTCTGTGCTGGGCAGGTTTAGTCAGTTTACCTTGTTGGTCTGGTCTAAACAGTGGGTAACCATGATGGCCTGGCAAAGTCGGCACCTTCCTTTGTGCATTAGGCAGGTATAGTCTACAGCTTTTCACTTATTTAAATTTGATCCAATTTAACTATTGCTTGTAGCTCTATGCGACTTTCTTGCAAGGTATACTTGTAGGGGGCATGATATACTGTACAAGCATGAGACCCTAATGTTAACCTTTGTACCTCAAACATCTCTTAGGAATGGATTGGACAACAACTTTAATTGCCTCGCAATGTCGTTAACGGGATGAATATTATATTTATCTTGGCTATGTCAACAAATAGTTTTGATAATCTCATTGCTAAATTGGCTTGATCGAGGATGTCAATGTCTGGTGCGAGTCGTGGTCTCTTGCTTTCCATAAAAATCAGTACCTAACCTATTTTAGATATCCTCCTCTCATATGTCCAAACTTTTTATGGATTGCTGTTGAATAAACAGAATATTGTAATTAGCACCTAGGATGTCTCAGGAGATCATAGCCAACTTCACAAAAAAAAAAAAAACACTCGTCGTTCTTAGGTCTTACAGTGGGAGCACAGTTGATGGTTCCATTAGAATAATTACCAAAATGCTGTCCACCACGTCATGACTGATGGTATGTATTGTTACCCTGTTGGGACCTTTGTCGAGCCCTACACATTAATGTGTGGTGGCCGACTTTTTTATGGTAAGAACAGTATGGAGGCTTTGAGTCATTTCCTTTATCTGGTGACCATGCAAACTGGTGAGGTGGAACTGTTCCCTGTGGCTTAGTCCAACAATCTTGGACTAAGAGTGCAGTCTTTCTGCAATTATCACATGTTGTGGCATTCTGAAGTGGATTGTTACATCTAGGAAATCTAGGAATATTTGTTTCTTTCCGACCTCCTATCTGTTTTCTCGGCTGAAAATTGTGTAACTGTGCTGGATGATAGTGCTGAGGGCTTGGCATGACATTCACAGCTTCTTCAGTTTGCAATGATCTGGTGTCAGGTAACATTACATAAGCTGCATTAACTATAGCAACATAAACATCCCCTATTTCATTTTCTGGGCCAAATTTCTCCATCTTTAACATTGGTAGAATTTCTCTAGGAGCATATCGTTGTAATGACCCAAATGCTACTAATTTAGCCATTGCTACTGGGGTCATGAAACCATCACTGTTTGTCCATTCTGACTTTTTTAGGGCTTCCTCAAGTGCATAAATTAGTTTATCTAAACGACTAGTATAAGCATTCAGAGTTTCATCTGGCCGCTTGGTAGAATTCACCAATACTTGTATTAGGAAAAATGGATCCAAAACTTTTTCAAAAATAGATCCTTCTGTCAAAAACATATCGAATTCTTCCCACCAAAATTCGATTAGACGTAAATTATCACAAGAAGGTGATGTTGCCTTTATTTGGGTTGTCTTCATTTCCTCTATTTCCCTGTGCAACATGATTAGTTTAGCTCAACTCACACAAGATGTCAAATAATGTTTCCCTATTGACATTCACAAATGTAATTTACAATTATGGCACTAACAATTATTTTGGTTATGAAATTGTTACCTTTCCTCTCAATAATTGCTTGAATATAACCACTAAAAATATAAATACATTAAAAATGCTGGGATGACATTGATTGAATACTACAGCCAACTAGAATTAAAAGAATTGTAACAAATTAATAACAAATTAATCTTAAACTTTGATAACCCCCCAAAAAATCACAAATAAACTGGTTAAACTTTTTCAGTCAAATAATATTTGTGAATTGCAAAAAATTACTTTGCTAACTCTCCTCACAATTCTCAATTTTGACCAAATTGTTGCAACATACAGTATATAAAAATTTAGCTTTCAATGTGGTTAGAAAAATGGAAAGCTAATTGTAACTGGAAATAATGCAAAAATAAATACAGTAATGGAATGGAATAAATTTTCCCAATATTCAATGAAGAAATCTATAATTCAGTCTAGATTCCATGTACTGTATTTGCTTTCTATGAAATTTTGTGTTGAATTAATTGGTTATTCAATAGCTCAATACTTGATATGGTATGTGATTTCTTGCTCAAATTTTCTTATAAACAACAGGTAATAGTAATTAATTGCCAAGACTGGTGAACTTTAAAATCCAGTTTGAAAAAGTCGTCAGGACAAATGGGGGGGTCTTTAACAAGCCGCCAGCTTCCTGTCCTCATTAAGGCCACTAGTTTTAGTGGCCTTCAGGTAAATTCAGGTAATTGCACAATGACAGCAGGGATAAAAGTCACACGGCTGTTCGCCAATGGATTTTAAAACCCAACAGAGCCAAACATTACCTAACTTAACTATACACAAGGTTGTGACAATTAGAAAATGAACTGTTCAAACCCTTGTGAACAATGAGACTGAACAAGGCCGAGTGCCCAACTCCTGACAACCTACAAGTCAATCACAGCTTCATTTAAGTTCCCTGCTTGTTTTTACCATATACTGTAGTTAATGGTCAAACTGGGCACAATCACGTAGATCTTGCTTAACTTTGTGTCGCAGGAAGGTGTAGAGAGCAGTGTAGAAGGTATCACAGGAGCGTGTAGAGGGCAGGGAAGGCTGCCGCCACGCCCAGGACTGCTTGAAATTTAATAGAAATCAGTTTATTGATGTATAAATACACTCACACAAAGGTATGAGGGAGCTCACGCTATTCTCACCCCGTTCAGTACAACGTGTTTATATATGTGAAGACACGTGGCAGTGGTTTGTTTACCACAACTGGTGACGTCACTAGTGCTGGTGGTGGTCACTGTAGTGCTGGTGGTGGTGTCACTGTAGTGCTGGTGGTGGTGTCACTGTAGTGCTGGTGTCACTGTAGACGTCGACGTACACGACACTCGTCAATATAACGCATTTACCAACGGTGACGTCACGACAATCACGGCGCCAAAACAGCGGACTTGAACAATTATTCCTTAAAACTATCTTCTCCCAAGCTTGCAAAGCTTCCACAGCTTCACCTCTGTGGCGGCGAGAGAGCACCCAGCTTAGTGTGGCGGCGGGAGATACTACAATGTTTTGAATGTTTGAAACACTGGCTTTAGCGCGGCAAAACTTTATTGTTTTGCCGGATTTAGCGCGGGTAAATTTGAGCTATCTTGCCCATATACTCCTTTCTTGCACAGTTAGGGTGCCCTGGCCTGAGGGTGGCCCTAGTGGGTTTAGAGAGCGATGTAGGGCCTGGAGGTGAGCCACAAGAGTGATGAAACACACACACGACGCTCGTCCGCTCGCCACCTCCACCTCTCATATACTGAACTTCAAATTTCAAATCTTATATACAGTTCATTTCTCGATTGACAAAACCGTATTTATCGTTCGATTTTGGTGTATTTACTTACGTTAGGCTGTGTTAGGTATGGCTGGGCTTGGCTACGAGGGTTTGGGTTACATTAGGTTGGATTGCGTGAGGTAATTAGGTGTTGGATTTAATATTCGCGAACGGGACCATCTTGTGTACGATGTGACTTGTGTCTGTGGCCTGCACCTAGGCCTATGACGTCACCGGCGCGATGCCTGATGCTCCTGGAGGCCCAACCCTCCAGTTCTTCAATTAACTCATACAATAATTATAATAATAATTCATATAATAATTAACAGCCGACATATGTCTCTCATGCTCACGCCTGAGTGTTAAAATGGTGACAAAACTTAAACATTAAAACAAGTTTTATTAAAACATAAAATGTATTAGTATGATGTTCCCAGATTAATGCAATGTATCTACCTGGAGTGTGATCAATTTCAACCGTAACTGTGAACGTGAACTTAACGGTATAGTGGTGATAGAGTCTTAGGTAAGTTAACCCTTGTTGGTAGCCACCAGTCTGTCCATCTTGGAGAGTTCTATGTCCTTCAACTTGAGTTCATCGGCACCTTTGGCGTCCTTGTGCACCTTCCTCAGGTTGGGCGACAGCTTCAGCGACACCAGGGTACCTCTGTGCCGGGACACACATCATTAGTCCAGAATTTTGTGTCTCAGAATGTGTGTACTGGGACACACATAATGTACCTCACCTCTCTATACACTTGTAGCGAGTAGATTATCCCAATAATATACTCGCTCCAAATATAGTGTTAATATTCCTGTCAACCTTTGGAGATGAATGAGGTGAGGCGTTGCCCGAGCAATATAAGCGGCAAGAATAGCAAACATTAACTAGTCTACTTTCAAGTGTGGTCTAGAGCAGACACTTGCGAGATACTGTACCGACGCTCAGTGCGCTCAACTCACACCAACGTATCACCTGTGTACTTCTGTATATTCGACCAAATATATATATAGTATCTTAGTGTCTGTGTTTATTTGTCACCATACTTTACGTAACAATAGAACCGTTACACACTCCTTCTATATTATACCTCACCTCTACACTCTCCTTCTATATTATACCTCACCTCTACACTCTCCTTCTATATTATACCTCACCTTTACACATTCATTCTATATTTATTTTATTTAGTGCCATCTATAGATTTCCTAATACCAACATAGCTTCATTCTCAGACAATGTAAGGAATCTTATCATAAATAACAATCTCAACAAAAATCACATCATTCTAGGTGGTGATTTCAATATTGACCTGGGTCTTCAAAATAACCCCCAAGTTGACTATTTCCGTAACAGCATGCACTCCTGTATGCTAATCCCCACAATCACCAAGCCCACCCGAGTCACTCAAACATCTGCCACTACCTTGGATCACTTATGGACAGCTCCCCTTACATCTGGGGTAATCTATGATAGAACAACTGGCCACTATCCTACCTTCCTCATAGCAAACATAGATACAATACCACCAGAAAGCAAGAAACTCTCATTCAGGCTACACAGTGAATCAGCTTTAGGCAATCTCTCTAATGCACTTCACAATATTAACTGGGAATCTGAATTCAATAATACACAGGATATAAACTCATTAACTAACCTCTTTCTCTCCAAAACTCTAAGCCTCTACAACACTCACTGTCCCCTCCTTACCAAACAAGTAACTGATAAAAGAAAAAACAATCCGTGGCTCACAAGTGGCATAATCAAATCAATCAACAAAAAACATGAATATGAAAAGAAATTTAGGATTGGCCTAGTTACAAAGGAAGTAGTTAAAAGGTACTCATCAGTGCTTACCAGTATCATAAGAAAAGTCAAACATTCATATTATGATACTAGATTCAAAGAAGCAAAAGGCAATATGAAAAGCACATGGAATACCATCTCTAATATCCTAGGAACTAAACAACACTCCCACAACCAGATAACACACTCTAAGGATGGCTTTACACCGTCAACTGATTTAGAAATGGCAAATTAATTTAATAGTTTCTTTTCATCGGTTGGTGCTAACCTTGCCAGTAAAATCCCACAGACTCAGACACATATCAACACATATCTCTCAGGCAGCTATCCAAACTCTCTTCTCCTCTCACCAGTCAGCCCGTCAGATGTTGTGTCCATCATGCACTCACTAAAAACCAAAGCTGGGAACATCTGTGAAATCCCATCCATTGTATACAAGAGCGCCTCCCACGCCCTTGCACCACCTATAGCTCTGCTGTTCAACAAATCCCTTGAGTGTCATACCTTCCCTGATATCCTTAAAAAAGCAAGAGCAACGCCAGTTCATAAAGGAGGTAATCCGGCAGACAAACAACTATAGACCAATATCAAACCTACCCATCCTATCAAAAATATTTGAAAAAATTATCTACAAACAGCTCTACTCCTATCTCGTAAAATTCGACATTCTTAGCCCCTGTCAGTTTGGCTTCCGCTCCCAAAAGAGTACCAACGATGTAATTATTAGTCTCCTTGATATAATTTACTCAGCCCTTGACAAAAATGAATTTCCGATTGGACTCTTCATTGACCTGAGAAAGGCCTTTGACACTGTTAATCACAATTACCTCTTATGTAAACTCCATCATTTTGGAATCCGAGGCCATGCACTGGATTATATCCAATCCTATCTTGTAGTGATAGACACCAATGTCTAACCATCAATAATATAACCTCTCTCACTCTACCAATAACCGTTGGAGTGCCACAGGGCAGCATCTTGGGACCTCTCATATTTCTTATATACATCAATGATCTAGACAAGAGACTCAACTTCAGCACCCACATACAACACACAACTAAGAAAGTCTCTAAAACAGTTGGGATACTCTCCAAAATCAGATATTATGTACCTAACTCTGCTCTCATCTCTATATTATGCACTAATCTATCCCTATCTTAATTATGGTATCTGTGCATGGGGTTCAACCACTGCAAACCACCACAAGTCCATCATCGCCCAGCAAAAATCTGCTATCAGAATAATAACAAATTCTGCTTTCAGACAACACTCGGCCCCCGTGTTTAACTCCCTTAACATGCTAAACATAATCTCCACAAATTTTCTTGTGTCAATTACATTTATAAAATCCTGTTCTTAAACGCAAATCCTGCTCTGAAACTCTCCCTTAAAATAAACTTAAACGTGGTACATAATAACTTAATAAAAATAAATACCGTCATTGTGTCGGGGGACAGGCAGCCAGTGTATATATACATGTTAGGGTTATTTCGAGGTCCCCCTATTGTCGATCAATGACTGACCTCACCCAGGAGGCAACCCTACAACAAGCTGACTAACTCCTGGGTACCTATGTACTGCATGGTGAAGGGTTTACGGCAGAGAAAACGCGCTCAGTCATTTCTGTTCGCTGGGATTCGAATCTGTAATTCTCAATTGTGAGAGGAGAACGAACCCGACTATACTACAGGGGTAACATTGAACATTGAAATATTAATGCAGACAGGTATGGATGGAACATTCACACGTGTGTACTGAACATTAAGAAAGAACACACTCACTCTCCAGGATATTGGGTAAGGGCCCCTCGCCCCCAACTAGGATAATGGGTAAGGGCCCCTCGCCCCCAACTAGGATAATGGGTAAGGGCCCCTCGCCCCCAACTAGGATAATGGGTAAGGGCCCCTTGCCCCCAACTAGGATAATGGGTAAGGGCCCCTCGCCCCCAACTAGGATAATGGGTAAGGGCCCCTCGCCCCCAACTAGGATAATGGGTAAGGGCCCCTCGCCCCCAACTAGGATAATGGGTAAGGGCCCCTCGCCCCCAACTAGGATAATGGGTAAGGGCCCCTCGCCCCCAACTAGGATAATGGGTAAGGGCCCCTTGCCACCAACTAGGATAATGGGTAAGGGCCCCTCGCCCCCAACTAGGATAATGGGTAAGGGCCCCTTGCCCCCAACTAGGATAATGGGTAAGGGCCCCTCGCCCCAACTAGGATAATGGGTAAGGGCCCCCCTCCCCTTCCAACTAGGATAATGGGTAAGAGACTCACTTCTCGCCTCCCACCAGGATAATGGGATAGAAGGGGTTGAAGGCAACACAGGTGGCCGCTACACGTCGCCGCTGCACTAGACTCTGGACACACAGTGGACGACACTTCCGGAGGAACAGGTCATAGACGTGTACCCGACCCTCGTCTGTGGCTGCTACGAAGACACTGCTGCTGTAGGGTGACCAGCTGACCTCGGCTACTGCGCCTCCCAAGTCAAGAACCACCAGTGGTGACCTGGAACATTAACAGGTCAGATTGTTCAGGACTATCTTACAGGTAACTATCCACAGTCTCTGTACTTAACGCCTTCAAATTCCACTGATGTAAATGAGATAATCCTTTCCCTTAAAACCAAGTCTAGTGACCTTGAGGAGATACCAACTTTAATTTACAAAAAAGCCTCCAGATCTTTAGCCCTTGCTATTGCATTGCTCTTCAACAAGTCACTTGAACTCCAAACCTTTCCAGATATTCTAAAAAAAAAAGCGAGAGTAACCCCTGTCCACAAATGTGGTGATCTCACTGCTGTTAACAACTGCAGACCTATATCAGTCCTGCCAAACTTGTCAAAAATATTTGAAAAACTAATCTACAAGCAGCTTTACTCTTATCTAGCCAAACACAATATACTTAGCTCTTGTCAATATGGCGTCAGACCCCAAAAAAGCACTAACGATGCGCTTATTAGTATGATTAACTTGATACATACAGCTGATGATAAAAATGAGTTCCCTGTTGGGTTATTTGTGGACCTGCGTAAGGCTTTTGACACTGTCAACCACCAAAACCTTCTTCTTAAATTACATCATTATGGGGTCAGAGGACACTCCCTGCAATACCTCAAATCTTACCTTACTGACAGGCTTCAGTATGTGTCTGTGAATAATTCAATTTCTCCCACCCTACCCATCAACATTGGTGTTCCTCAGGGCAGCATACTTGGCCCTCTCCTCTTTCTCATCTACATTAATGACCTTCCAAATGTCTCCCAACACCTCAAACCAATTCTATTTGCTGACGACACAACCTTCATTTACTCTAGTCCTGACCCCCTTGCTCTTAATGGCACAGTGAATACTGAGCTAAATAAAGTCCATCTTTGGCTAATTGCCAACAAACTCACCCTCAACATTGACAAAACTTTCTATATCTTTTTTGGCAATAAATCCTCAAATCAAATAAATCTCAAAATAAACAATACCCAAATTTGTAACAAATTAGATGGCAAATTCCTTGGCGTTCTCATTGACCACAAACTGAATTTCCAGGGACACATTCTAAATATATCAAAAAAAGTTTCAAAAACTGTTGGCATTCTTTCTAAGATCAGATATTATGTACCTCGCCCTGCCTTGGTGACGCTCTAGCTATTACGCCATCAACTATTCTTATCTCAACTATGGTATTTGTGCTTGGGGTTCTACTACCCAAAATAATTTACGTCCTCTAATTATTCAACACAAAGCTGCTATTAGGTCAATATCCAACTCTGGCCCCAGACATCACTCAAATATTTTACTCAAATCTCTGAATATGTTAGATATTAAGTCACTGCATATCCTCTCATGTGTATTATATATATATACAAAACGCTGAACTGTAATGTCAATCCTGACCTTAAAAGATTCCTAGAAGGTTGTAACAGATCCCATGAGCACCACACCAGAAACAAATACCTTTTATATATTCCAAGAGTACGACTTAATCAAACTAGAAATGCTTTACAAATCAAGGGACCCAGAATGTGGAATGACCTTCCCAATCATGTTAAAGACTGTACCTCTCTCAACCAGTTTAAGATAAAAACGAAGCACAACCTAATTAACTCCCTGTAACCTACCTTACCCCTAAAATGTCAACCCATGTCTACTATTTTAAACAATGCTGTTTGTCGACCAAATTGTATTTTTACTATTTTTTCTGCCATGTTCCCACCTTCTTTTTTTATTTTCTCAACTCAATTTATACTTTAATCTCAATTAGTACTAAGTTTTAGTCTTACTGTTTTTCCTGCCTGAAACGCTTTGCGTAATAGTGGCTTTAGGCATTGTATGTACTAGCTCTATCTATAAATCCATCAATGTTTTGTATCTCATTTTGTATGGATGTACTTAACCTGAATAAATATTTGATTTGATTTGATTTGAACTGTTTTTTCTTATATTTCAGCGATGGAAACATCAGATCATTTTATGTTCCCAATTTTCTGATATGAACATCAGATCATTTGATGTTCCCAATTTTCTGATATGAACATCTGATCATTTGATGTTCCCAATTTTCTGATGTGAACATCAGATCATTTGGGAATGCATCGGACGAGGGGACGGGGGAGTCTGGATGGATGGGAGGTCGAGGGGACGGGGGAGGGGGGAAATGGTGGGGAGGACTGGGAGACAGGGAAAGGTTGCTGTGGCTCAGCAATGCACTTGCACTGCAGATCCACAGCAACGCGTGGCCGGGTACAGCTAGTACATAAATAAATTCAAGTAGTTTTATTACCTAATACTTACAGATGATACTGAAACCAGACTTTGACAGTCCAGTCCACTGAGCAGGAGATGAAGACTTTGTGGTGGTGAAGGTTCCACACGACGGCTCTGACAGCGGCAGTGTGGGCCGGGTAGCGGGTGAGGGAGTGTTCGCTCGAGTGGGTGGAACACTGGAATATGGCACCGGAGTCCACTCCAACCAGCACCACCTCCTCCTTATCCGGCCTGAAGGCTACACAAGTCCCCGCTCCTGCCGTGTACAAGTTACATTTGTCAGCCTCATTAAGTGATTTTTCTGAATCGATAGGAATCAGCAAGCCATTCATGGTGAAAAAGACTCAGAATCATGAAACAGATCTAAAACCAAAACTAAGTCTGCTAAAAGTCACAAGAGTTGATATATAATAATAAAATTAATATTATTATTAATAATATATATTTAGAGAAGAGTATGTACATACAAAATGGGATACATTTCTAGGTAGAAGGGAAGGGAACTGTCAGGAGAAAGCACCAAGCCATTACGGCTATATAGCACTGGGAAGGGGTCAGGATAAGGATTTGGGATGGGACGGGGAGGGGGGGAAGGGATGGAGCCCAACCACTTGGACGGTCGGGAATTGAACGCCGACCTGCATGAAGCCAGACCATAGCTCTACCGTCCACCCCAAGTGGCCTAGGTAGAGCAAGTATATACTATGCCTAAAGCCCCTAATACACAGTTTCCCGCATGATGTGGAAAAATAAACTTAAAAACTAAGACTTAAAACTTATTGAGATCAAAAACAAAAATGAACTAAGGATGTAGGAAGACTTGATCGGGGATTATAGCAGTTTGATCGGCAGTTTATAGAATTCCTAACACTGATGTGTCCGAATTCAACTCAAACCTTAGAAATCTAATACTTGATAACAGACTGAACAAAAACCACCTAATTATTGCAGGGGACTTTAATATTGACCTCTGCGAGCCAGAACACCCTACTGCTGTTAGCTTCCTCAACTGTATGAATTCCTGCTTCCTCATACCCTTAATCACTAGACCTACTAGAATCACTGATAGCACTGCCACGACTCTTGATCACATCTGGACAAATATAACCTCTCCGCTTACTTCAGGTATAATCACCGATAGCACTACAGACCATTACCCCACATTTCTCTTAACTAACATTAGCAAACCACCTCTTGAGTCAAGAGAGATACGTTTTAGACTACACAATGAAACTGCTATAGACAATTTTATAACTGCTACTGATAATGTCAACTGGGAGTCCGAGTTAGGTAACATAGAGGACATCAACCTAGCAGTTCAATCTTTTCTTCAAATAACTCTTAGCCTTTATAATACCCACTGTCCTATGCTTACAAAACAAGTCACAACCAAAAGGCTTAACAATCCTTGGCTTACAAAGGGAATACTTAAATCTATTAATAAAAAACATGACCTTGAGAAAAAGTATAGGTTAGGGATTGTCTCCAAAGAATTCTCAAAGAATTACTCATTATTGCTATCTAAGATAATTAGACGAGCCAAAACTAAATACTACGAAGATAAATTTACCCAAATAAAGAGCAACGTTAAACAAACATGGAGAACAATTTCACAAATATTGGGATCAAAAAAGTCTTTAAATAGCAAACCGACTCTCCTGTCTAATAACGATGGTCAGCTTTCAGCCTCTGATTCTGCTATTGAGTTCAATAGGTTCTTCTCTTCCATTGGTTCATCCCTTGCTAATGATATTCCATCTTCCAGTACTGACATTAAGGACTATCTTACAGGGAACTATCCCCAGTCCCTGTACCTAAAGCCTATTAATTCCATTGACGTCAATGAGATAATCCTTTCCCTTAAAACCAAGTCTGGTGCCCTTGAGGAGATACCAACTTTAATCTACAAAAAGCCTCCAGATCTTTAGCCCCTGCTATTGCTTTGCTCTTCAACAAGTCACTTGAACTCCAAACCTTTCCAGATATTCTAAAAAAAGCGAGAGTAACGCCTGTCCACAAATGTGGTGATCTCACAGATGTTAACAACTACAGACCTATATCAATCCTGCCAAACTTGTCAAAAATTTTTGAAAAACTAATCTATAAGCAGCTTTACTCATATCTAGCCAAACTCAATATACTTAGCCCTTGCCAATATGGCTTCAGGCCCAAAAAAAGCACTAACGATGCACTTATTAGTATGCTTAACTCGATTCATACAGCTCTTGATAAAAATGAGTTCCCTGTTGGGTTATTTGTGGACCTGCGTAAAGCTTTCGATACTGTCAACCACCAAAACCTTCTTCTTAAATTACATCATTATGGTGTCAGAGGACACTCCCTACAATACCTCAAATCCTACCTTACTGACAGGCTCCAATGTGTTTCTGTGAATAATACAATTTCGCCCACCCTACCCATCAACATTGGTGTTCCCCAGGGCAGCATACTTGGCCCTCTCCTCTTTCTCATCTACATTAATGACCTTCCAAATGCCTCCCAACACCTCAAACCAATCCTATTTGCTGACGACACAACCTTCATTTACTCCAGTCCTGATCCCCTTGCTCTAAATGCCACAGTAAATACTGAGCTAAATAAAGTCCATCTGTGGCTAACTGCCAACAAACTCACCCTTAACATTGACAAAACTTTCTATATTCTGTTTGGCAATAAATCCTCTAATCAAATAAATCTCAAAATAAACAATACCCAAATTTGTAACAAATTAGATGGCAAATTCCTTGGCATTCTCATTGACCACAAGCTGAATTTCCAGGGACACATTCTAAACATATCAAAAAAAGTTTCAAAAACTGTGGGCATTCTTTCTAAGATCAGATATTATGTACCACGCCCTGCCCTGGTGACTCTCTATTACTCCCTTATCTATCCATATCTCAACTATGGTATTTGTGCTTGGGGCTCTACTACCCAAAATCACTTACGTCCTCTAATTACTCAACACAAAGCTGCTATTAGGACAATATCCAACTCTGGCCCCAGACATCACTCGGTACCCCTACTCAAATCTCTGAATATGTTAGACATTAAGTCACTGCACATTCACTCATGTGTATTATACATATACAAAACGCTAAATTGTAATGCCAATCCTGATCTCAAAAGCTTCATAGAAGGTTGTAACAGAACCCATGAGCACCACACCAGAAATAAATACAGTTTTGATATTCCTAGAGTACGACTTAATCAAACCAGAAATGCTCTACAAATCAAGGGGCCCAGGATGTGGAATGACCTTCCCAACCATGTTAAAGACAGTACCTCTCTCAACCAGTTTAAGTTAAAAACGAAGCTATACCTAATAAATTCCATGTAACCTACCTTACCCTTCTATTGTCAACCCATGTATGTTTTTTGTTTTTGTTTTTTGTTTTACAAATCAACGCTGTTTTAATGTAATTTTCTGTAATAATTTATAATTGTATTTGTGCTGTTTTTTCAACAATGTTCCCCCCCTCTTTTACCTCTATTTTTATTTGTACTCAACGCATTTTTTTCTTTTTACCCATTAGTTTTAAGCTTTAGTCAGTAGTGTTTTTTCCTGCCCGAAACGCTTTGCGTAATAGTGGCTTTAGGCATTGTATGTACTAGCTCTATCTATAAAGCCAACAAACTTTGTAAAATCTCTTTATGTATGTACCTTTGCCTAAATAAAAATTATTATTATTATTATTATTATTATTATTAGAATATAAGCTGGAGGAGGGGAGGTAGAGGATGGTGGCCCAACCACTTTGGAAGTTTTGGTGATCCACCAAACGGGTACTCGACCTGGGTACGCGTCCTAGCTCAGTCCTGGACAGCAGTGGTGTGACGGCTGCGTGGGGTTTGTTGATAAATTGGAGCTTCGGTGTCAGTCGCTGAGCTGTAGTTAGCGGGTACACCGGGGCTGGTGGTTCCCATTATGCCTCGTCTGGCAGCTTACACAGAATTCACAGTTTTGTGTAGTCCCTCTTGTGGATGTGTCTTCTTACCCTTGACTGAAGTGACATTCTCATTGTCCTGTGTGGCTGGTCTTGCTTTAGGTAGTTCGTGGTGTTGTGGACTACAACACAAGGGGTCCTCCCGGTTAGGTAGGGACATGCTCTTCATTTTGTACATCTGTTTGGCAGAGAGGCTGTGTTGGTGAATGTTGAGACGTTCCAGCTTCTTACTGACACGAAGGCTGTCGGTACGCACGTTGTCCTTGACTGACAAATTTGCTACAAATCGCAGCGTTCTGTTCTGAACTCGTTGTGGCTTGAGTCTCTTTGTTTTTTTAGTTTATTTTATCTTATCGAGCAAGTCAGAGTACACCGAGTGGGTGAGGGGGTCAGGCACGGGGGCGCACGCTTACTGCCTGTGGTGCGCCCACACCCCCACCCACCTCTCCCCAGGGCTTCGGCTCATCACTCAGGTGGTCACCTAGTTATACTTGTGGTGGTTAAGCTTTGGCACTTTGGTCCCGCCTGTTAATCAACTAGTGTACAGAACAGCCCCGCTCCTGTGCCAGGTAAATCCACTACGGGTTCACATAGCCCGTGCTACTGGGAACTTTTTGTTCCGAGTAGTTGAATCTAAAACAACAACATAGTGTACAGATTCTTGGTCAGCAAGGCGGACAGCCCGCCCGCTTTCATAACTCTGTATTTCCTACTGCTAAACTTCCCTTCACCTGTGCCTCTCATCCCCCACTAGGGGGGGGGGGAAGTGAGAGGCATAGGCGAACCACTCTTTACTCCCAAAAAGAAACATAGGTCAACCACTCTTTAATAATAAACAAAAAAACTGATTCCTGAGCCTACTGGTCTCTATAAAATCTATAGTTGAAACTGTGTATGGAGTCAGCCTCCACCACATCACTGCATAATGCATTCCATTTGTTTACTACTGACACTGAACAAGTTTTTTCTAATGTCCCTGCGTCTTATTTGATTATTAAGTTTCCACCTGTGTCCCCTTGTTCGTGTTCCACCCTTGCAAAGACCGGCCCTCAGTCACTGAGCCTGCCCGGCCCTCAGTCACTGAGCCTGCCCGGCCCTCAGTCACTGAGCCTGCCCGGCCCTCAGTCACTGAGCCTGCCCGGCCCTCAGTCACTGAGCCTGCCCGGCCCTCAGTCACTGAGCCTGCCCGGCCCTCAGTCACTGAGCCTGCCCGGCCCTCAGCCCCTGAGATCATCATGTGCCTCTGTAACGCTTTCCACCGCCGCCCACAAGATGAGCATGGGGTACATAACAAATGAACTAAACTAAGCCATGCGCGGATGTTTTTGTTGAGTCCCCGGTCAAAAAATCGAGCGTTTTCACACCATCGTTATCGATCCAGTTTCTTTTACTATAATTAAAGTAACTTATTATACAATATCAAACAAAGCCTTTAACTTGTCGAGACCCCACTGAAGGGTGAGGCTGTTTATGTTGTCACCCATCCGGTTACTGACCCCACTAATTAGTTTTTAACGTGACTGACAGAGTGACAACCATGCACAATACACATCATTGGCCGTTCCAATATCAACCCGTCCAAGACTCAAGTCCATTACATCCAGCGGTCGACCCCACAGACGCATTCATAAATTTATACATGCTGTTCAATCACAACGGAAATGTTCTCATTAAATTAATATTATAATATATTAGCATATTGTGCATATATAGGCATAGGTTAGATTAGGTTAGGTGTTTAGGTCCTGTTGGCGATTATTTGTATATGCAGTACGTGGATTAAGCATTTACAGCGTTGTGGTACGAACAAAATTCGTCAGTGAAGCACTTGTTCCCGAAGTGTTCGAACGAAATCAGTTGTGAGTCCAGCCCGTCCTCCAAACAAAGATCCAAAAGTGATTCCATGCACCCGCCAAACCCCCTGTTTATGAATGAAAAGCGGTTTACACACGACTCACAACTGCTGACGTTCGAACATATCCGGAACAAGTGCTTCACTGACGACTTTTGTTCGAATCACAACGCTGTAAATGCTTCACCCACGTACTACACATACAAATAATCGCCAACAGAACCTAAACACCTAACCTAACCTATCCTATGCCTATATATATATACACAATATGCTAATATATTATAATATTAATTTATACTTGCGATAATTCCCGTTTTGAATGAACAGCATGTTGAAATTAATGAATGCGTCTGTGGGGTTGACCGCTGAATGTAATGGACTTGAGTCGAGGACGGGTTGGTGAGTCGTGTGTAATCCGTTTTTCTTTCATAAACAGGGGGTTTGGCTGGTGCATGGAATCACTTTTTGGTCTTTCTTTGGAGGACGGGCTGTCTGATCTTCACACGACAAAGCCCAAGAGAGACTGACCTTCCAGCAGCATGGTGTCACTGCCGGTGAACTTGGAGGTGTGGTCATACGCCTGGAAGTGCAGGACGTCAGTGTGGACCAGGCTGGAGGCTCGTACCTGCCACTGCGTCAGTCGACCGTCAAGAGACACCGAGTACAGACACAGCTCCTCTCCTGGCTCCGTTCTCACCCACTCTACCTGTTGGCACAGTGCACAGTCATCACCCACTCTACCTGCTGGCACAGTCATCACCCACTCTACCTGTTGGCACAGTGCACAGTCATCACCCACTCTACCTGCTGGCACAGTCATCACCCACTCTACCTGTTGGCACAGTGATCACCCACTCTACCTGCTGGCACAGTGATCAACCACTCCACCTGCTGGCACAGTGATCAACCACTCCACCTGCTGGCAGTATAATAAATAAGTCCCGGATATAAGGAGCCTGGTAGTACAGTCGGGTTCGTTCTTGACTTAAAAACTGAGATTTCCGGGTTCGAATCTTGGATGGGATAGAAAGGGTGTGGCGCGTTTCCTTTCACCAAATGCCCCTATCCACCTAGCAGCAAGTAGGTACCCAGGAGTTAGTCAGCTTGTTGTGGGGGTTACACCCTGGGGAGGGTCAGTAACTCCACCCTAGGGGGTGGGCCTTGATATAAGCCTAACATGTACTGTATATATACACTGGCTACCTGTACCCCGACACAATTACTTATTATTAACACAGCAGCACATTGTTCTGCTCACCTAGTTGTGTTTGCGGGGGTTTAGCTTCTGTTCTTTTGTTCCACCTCTCAATTGTCAATCAACTGGTGAACAGGTTCCTGAGTCTATTGGCCTTTATCAAATCTATATTTAAAAATTTGTCTGGGAGTCTTCCTCCATCACATCACTGCCTAATGCATTCCATGTTAACTACTCTGACACTGAAAAAGTTCTTTCTAATGTCTCTGTTGTTCATTTGGGCAATCAGTTTCCACATGTGTCCCCTTGTGTTTGTGTTAAATAAACTGTCTTTAGCTAACCTATCAATTCCCCTGAAAATCTTGCATGTGGTGATCATATTCCATCCAAACAACTCAAGGTAAGGTGTCCCCCCCAAATTTTTCTGTCTTCCAGCGACGTGAGGTTTAGTTCCTATAGTCTCTCCTCGTAGCGCATACCCCTCAGCTCGGGTTGTGTATTCTTAAGCATGTTGATAACAACACAAATGTATCTAGCCTAAAGTAAACATGCATAGTCTATAGACAGGCTATCAGGCTAGCCTAGTAAGGCTATAAAGATATACAGACAGCCAAATGCCAGAAGGCAAAATAGGTTTAAATGCTGTCAATCTGCAATGTCATTTGAAGGATCAAATCCCAGTTAAACGTGAAGTTAATTTCGACGTGAAATAAACTTTACTATTCGACTAGGTTTTGGCCCGTCAAATGATGCTGCAGGTCGACAACGAAAGACACACCACTAAGACAAACTGTGCCAGCATCTGCAAGGTGTTTGACTCCAAGATGGTTCATGTTGTATATGACAGCTAGATATTAAAGACAACAAAGTCTGCGTAAAAGAGAGCACACGGACCTGGAGGACAGGGAGGAGGTGCTTGCCTGCCAGGGTTGTGGAGGCGATGATCACTGGCGAGGCTGAGCAGCGGGTGTCATATATGACTACTGTTCCGTCGCTCCATCCGGCCGCTATCATGCTCCCGTACTGTGGACGGAACACTCACTTAATCTCCCGTACTGTGGACGGAACACTCGCTTAATCTCCCGTACTGTGGACGGAACACTCGCTTAATCTCCCGTACTGTGGACGGAACACTCGCTTAATCTCCCGTACTGTGGACGGAACACTCGCTTAATCTCCCGTACTGTGGACGGAACACTCCCTTAATCTCCCGTACTGTGGACGGAACACTCGCTTAATCTCCCGTACTGTGGACGGAACACTCGCTTAATCTCCCGTACTGTGGACGGAACACTCCCTTATACTTCCCTACTGTGGACATAACACTTGCTTAATCTCCCATACTATGGGCGGAACACTCGCATATGCTCCCCTATTGTGGATGGAACACTCACTTAATCTTCTGTACTGTGAATGGAACACTCGCTTATACTCCCCTACTGTGGACGGAACTCTCCCTTATACTTCCCTACTGTGGATGGAACACTCACTTAATCTCCCCTACCATGGATGGAACACTCCCTTATACTTCCCTACTGTGGATGGAACACTCACTTAATCTCCCATGCTGTGGATGGAATACTCGCTTATACTTCTGTACTGTGGGCAGAACACTCACTTATACTCCCGTACTGTGGCTAGAACACTCAATTAATTTCCCATACTGTGGACAGAACACTCGCCTAATCTCCCACACTATGGATGGAACACTCGCTTAATCTCTTGTATTGTGGATGGAACACTCGCCTAATCTCTTGTAGTGCAGATGGAACACTCACTTAATCTCTCATACTGTGGCTGGAATACTCACTTATACTCACATACTGTGGACAGAACACTCACTTATCTCCCTTACTGTGGACGGAACACTCGCTTATACTCCTGTACTGTGGATGGAGCATTCGCTTATACTCCCATACTGTGGACGAAACACTCGCTTATGCTCCATCCGCTGGACTGAACACACACTTATGCTGACAAACAGACATTAAAGGAAAGGCGAGAAAGAGTGATGAGGAGTACCTTGGGGTGGAAGGACACCGAGGTGACGCCACAGGGGGCGCGGAAGACCCTCTCTGGGGTGGCGGGGTTCTTGAGGGTGTACAAGCACATCATGCCCATGCCCTCCGTCTCCACCAGCTCCCCTGTGGACACACACACACCTTCATAACCCTCCACAACACGCTAGTTATCTCATTATATCTTTTCATGAACATCTTGAGCACAAGTTCATGAACACCTTTGATGAAGTTTTGTTTTTATATCCTTTAACTTTTAAATTAGGGTTTTCCGTGTAAACTAAGATCCCAGCCACAACCCAATGCTACCATTACCAAGCCCCAGTATCACCCCCCGACCATGACCTAGTACCACCCCCTATCACAACCCAGTACCGTCCCCCTACCACAGCCCATTACCATCCCCTACCACAACCCAGTACCACCCTCTACCACAACCCGTTACAATCCCTACCACAACACAATACCATCCTCTACCACAACACAATACCATCCCTACCAAAGGAAATGTAGATGTTTATCTCTCAGAATGTTTGGTAATATGTTGTTTGTGATGTGTGTCTATGTATGTATTAACACGATGTACTGAACGGGGTGAGAATAGCTTGAGCTACCTCATCCCTTTGTGTGTATTTTACCTCAATAAACTTATTTCAATTTCAACTTCAATCCCTACCAAAACCCACTATGACTCACAATTACGCTTATCCCCTGCATAGCAGTGGGTTCTGCCCCTTCCTTCTATGTGGAAGGATCATGCTCTATGTATCTATGTATCTATCTATGTATCTATGTATCTATGTATCTATCTATCTATGCTCTATGCTCTATGTATCATCATGCTCCCCTTCAACATCAAGAATCTCCAGCAATACTTTCGGAAACGTATTGTCCAGTCTCTCCTTCTCCCTCTCCCCAACCTGCCTTCCACGAGAGCCGCCCACCTGCAGCTTGCCGGCTCCCATTTCACCACCCATTGACGACCATTTGCCGGTTTCTCGTTCCAGACCCCGCCCCCTCACCTGTCTGACCTCACCACCTCGTATATGAGCACTGGCCGGCGACCTGGTCGATTACGGGCTATTCATGCCCGTGCCACCTCTTGGGTGGCTTAATCTTTATCAATCATCAATCACCTGGTCGAGCACAAGCCCTTCTGGTGCTCTCTTTAGCTTACGCGCTCATCCCTCATCTCGACGTTCTTACGACGGGGTGACGGTAGACGCTTAGAGCACTTTGTATAAAGTGTATCATTCACCATTATTCTTAACGTAAAGTAACTTGTGTATATGTTTTTCTTGTGTAGAGCCAAGTGGTTCAGTTTTTTGTCATTAATTGCTTATTATTATTTTCTGTACAATTTAAGTAAATTTTTGTTAAGTTTTGGTAAAGTAAAATATTAAAGTGTTAATTCTTTTGTTTATTTCCTGCGACTTACACACACCGTAAAGGATTAAGTTTTATTTAATTTTGCTTTCTCTTTTTTGTTATTAGTGTGCGTTTGGCACACAACACCTGCCAGGATAGTAGCTTGGCTATCACTGAATACACCACGCCCACCTCCTGCGGTGGGTGGTGTGGGACGCCCACACCACCCACCCTTTGCCAACCCATGCAACGCCCACACCACCTATCACCCCCACCCGACGCCCACACCACGCCCACCCACCCACCACGGGACAAGGCTAGGGACCCACCAGCAGTGTAGGCGGCAGCGAAGAGGTCCGGGTAGACGGGACTCCACTTGATGTGAGAGACGACGAGGGCGCGAGACTTGTCGTGGTGGAACTTCCACAGTGGCAGCAGCGACCCTTCCAGTGGACGGAACTCGTCGCTTCCGTCCTCCCAGTACCGGAAGTCTGCAACACACTCTCGTCACTACCGGAAGCAACACCTTGAGTAGCGTTACACCCTCAGACACCCACCATGTGTAGTGTTACACCCTCAGACACCCACCTTGTGTGATGTCGTCGTAAATGTTCTGGGTCACCATCCTCTCCAGCACCTTGGCGGAGGTCCTGAGCCTGGCCGCCTCCTGCCGCCTGCGGCTGGGGAGCACCGTCACCACCAGCGGGTCCGACGCCACCACCACCTCCTGCAAGGTGCACGTGTTGCTATACCTGATACACGCTGGCCGTCACGGGTGCCAACCCTGGGGTGTCACTCACCTGGGCTGGTACCATCCTGGGGTGTCACTCACCTGGGCTGGTACCAACCCTGGGGTGTCACTCACTTGGGCTGGTACCAACCTGGGGTGTCACTCACCTGGGCTGGTACCAACCTGGGGTGTCACTCACCTGGGCTGGTACCAACCTGGAGTGTCACTCACCTGGGCTGGTACCAACCTGGGGTGTCACTCACCTGGGCTGGTAATGGGGTACCCAACTCATCATACCTGTACGATATATACAATGCTGTATCTGCCCATTTGTATTCCTCTTGCCTCTGTCCCTGAAGATGCTGAATAATACATTAGCTAAACTCATTGTTTAGTAACGAGCGTTGGGCGCACTGAACGGGGACAATTAAACTTGATGGTAATATTTGATCTTTCCTCCTAGATGAAGGAGAACATGTTTTTCTGATCAGGGGGAGAAAGATACTGGCAGTATGGGGCTTTAAATTTATTGAAGATTAAATTCTGCAGAACATGTAAATATATAAAGTTTCAAAGTAAGTAAATATATAAAGTTTATATTAAAATATATAAAGTAAATATATAAAGTAAGAATTAACAGTTACAATTCCAAGTCCGAGGACTAGATTTAACTTAAAAGGTACACCCGTAGTAAGTATGAGACCTTAGCCTATAGTGACATGGAAACTAATTCTGCAGAAAACTAAAGGTTAACTGGTACTAGAATTAAGGCCGAGTGCAAATGTGTAGTAATTATATAACACTAGGATATAACAGGCAGGACACAAAGAATAACTAATAAGTGAGAGACCACATAACACGTAATGTACCCGGCCAAGAGGCCGTAAAAGACCTAATGAATAAGGAGAAGGGGGTGTGACTACAAGTAGGGCTTACTAGCACCTAGACTGGGCAAAGTATTAGCTGCGGACAGCGGGACACTTGGGGACCGGCGCTGCACCCCCCTTCCCACATGCAGTGGGGAGAAAAGGGGACAACTGTGCAAAGCATGACGGGGGTACAAAGACAGCCGCTTGCAAAGGGGAGGTGGGTGGGCTTTGCGAGGGCAGCGGCGGGGGCAGGCGGAGTGAGGGCAGAGCCCCTCTGTGCCCCCGTATTTATACGGCCCTAGACTGCCCGCGCAACGCCGCGGGACGCGCTGCGCAAATGTTTCTTTCTCCCCCATCAGAAACATCCCCGCTTTGCGAAGCAGTGGCCATATATGGGAGGCCTGGTCGGAGACCGAGCCGCGGGGACATTGATCCTTATAATCATCGACAGGTATAAGGGAAGATTAGTGTCTTTCTGTCACATTCAGTAAGCCCGGCTTCCCATTTTTATCTGAATGTATTGCGATGTATAATGTGGGCTTGAGGGGGCAGGTCTGGCGTGATAACCCCCCCCCCCCCCACAGATCGTCACCACTGGTGAGAAACCAGTGACCTCTGGTTTCTCACTCTCCGATTCTTGAAGAATTTCATCTCCCAAATAGCACCTTGTGTTGGGCCTCCAGCTCCCTACACCTATTTACATTACTTTACATATACTTGGGTTAAACTCTAAAAGTCATTTGTTGGACCGTTCCTTCAATTTGTCTAGGTCATCTTGAAGCCTCATGCTGTCCTCTTCTTTCTTAATCCTTCTCATAATTTTAGCATCATCAGCAAACATTGAGAGGAATTAGTCTATACCTTCTGGAAGATAATTCACGTATATCAGAAACAGGATAGGACAGGACAGATATACAAGTACCCTGTGTACTTGTATATCTGGTAGCGTAATGTTTGAGTCAGATAGAGGTTGAGAGGTTGAGGGGGGGGGGGGTAAAAAGATAAAGGGGGTTGGGGAAAAGGGGTGGATAGATCATGGAGAGTGAGAGTGGGATAGAGTTTGTATTAGTCAGGGGGAACTCAGGGGTAGGTGAGGACATTGGGGCAGAAGAGGGGAAGAGGGAAATGGAGGAAGAGGTGGGGGAACCCCCCGTCCCCAACGGGAGGTCCATGTGTCCCCCTCGCAAGGGTAGGGGGTCACATGGAAGAAGAGGGGATGAGGAGGGGTTAGGGCTGGGTGGGTTTTGGTGGTTGAGAGGATGAGGGCTGGGCAGGTTTTGGGGGTGAGGGGATGAGAGCTGGGAGGGTTTTGGGGGTCGAGGGGATGAGGGGGTCCTTGGAATGTGGGATGAAGCAGATGGATTTGATTGCAATGGGGTCAGGGGAGGTGTTGGGGAGATAAGCAGGGGCAGGGAGGGCTGATTTGGAGAGGGTGTGACCTGGGAAGTAGGTGTGGGCTCGTAAGCACGGGGTGGGTTAGCACGGGGTGGGTTAGCACGGGGTGGGTTAGCACGGGGTGGGTTAGCACGGGGTGGGTTAGCACGGGATGGGTTAGCACGGGGTGGGTTAGCACGGGGTGGGTTAGCACGGGATGGGTTAGCACGGGATGGGTTAGCACGGGGTGGGTTAGCACGGGTGGGTTAGCACGGGATGGGTTAGCACGGGGTGAGTTAGCACGGAGTGGGTTAGCACGGGGTGGGTTAGCACGGGGTGGGTTAGCACGGGGTGGGTTAGCACGGGATGGGTTAGCACGGGGTGAGTTAGCACGGAGTGGGTTAGCACGGGATGGGTTAGCACGGGGTGGGTTAGCACGGGATGGGTTAGCACGGGGTGGGTTAGCACGGGGTGGGTTAGCACGGGATGGGTTAGCACGGGGTGGGTTAGCACGGGGTGGGTTAGCACGGGGTGGGTTAGCACGGGATGGGTTAGCACGGGGTGGGTTAGCACGGGGTGGTTAGCACGGGGTGGGTTAGCACGGGATGGGTTAGCACGGGGTGGGTTAGCACGGAGTGGGTTAGCACGGGATGGGTTAGCACGGGGTGGGTTAGCACGGGGTGGGTTAGCACGGGGTGGGTTAGCACGGGGTGGGTTAGCACGGGGTGGGTTAGCACGGGGTGGGTTAGCACGGGGTGGGTTAGCACTGGGGTGGGTTAGCACGGGATGGGTTAGCACTGGGGTGGGTTAGCACTGGGGTGGGTTAGCACGGGGTGGGTTAGCACTGGGGTGGGTTAGCACGGGGTGGGTTAGCACGGGGTGGGTTAGCACGGGGTGGGTTAGCACTGGGGTGGGTTAGCACGGGGTGGGTTAGCACGGGGTGGGTTAGCACGGGGTGGGTTAGCACGGGATGGGTTAGCACTGGGGTGGGTTAGCACTGGGGTGGGTTAGCACGGGGTGGGTTAGCACTGGGGTGGGTTAGCACGGGGTGGGTTAGCACGGGGTGGGTTAGCACGGGGTGGGTTAGCACTGGGGTGGGTTAGCACGGGGTGGGTTAGCACGGGGTGGGTTAGCACGGGGTGGGTTAGCACGGGGTGGGTTAGCACGGGGTGGGTTAGCACTGGGGTGGGTTAGCACGGGATGGGTTAGCACGGGATGGGTTAGCACGGGGTGGGTTAGCACGGGGTGGGTTAGCACGGGGTGGGTTAGCACTGGGTGGGTTAGCACGGGGTGGGTTAGCACTGGGGTGGGTTAGCACGGGATGGGTTAGCACGGGATGGGTTAGCACGGGGTGGGTTAGCACTGGGGTGGGTTAGCACTGGGGTGTGTAACTACGCTCAAATGGGACGATGTGTGTCGTGGAGGACGGCTCGCCCTGTGGTCTATTTGCTCATCTTTTGTCATGTATCTGTCAATGTACATGTTGTAAAAGTTTTCGCTACCTCTGAGTAAGTGCTTGTGTTGCAGTATGTAATCCACAGCCTCTTCGTTAGTGAACTGTACCAGGACAGGTTGTTTCTTGTTACAGTTATAAGCCCCAATGCTGCGGTGGATTCCCACCTCATTCCCTTCCATCTCGGCTCTGATATCTCACAAGATCCCCTGTGACTCAAAATCTTCAACCTCCATCCTTTCCTGTTTCAATGATGCCTTGGCTTCAAGTAATCCATGGATTATGATTGACCTCTTTCTCAGTGAAGGGTCATGCTGGTCGCCCCCCCCCTGGCTGACCCCCACCCCTCTCACACTCACTACTCCATCCCCCACCACTCCCCCTTCTCTTGCCATGCTTCCCTTATTTCTGCAAATTTCCCAAACATCTTTTCCACAAACCTATCCTCCTCCTCTTTCATAATACTGCTGGACCTAGACGCCCTTCCTGACCTAGTCATTGCTATAATGCAACCTTACCCACAGGGGGTTCCAATTACCTTACCGACCTGCTAACATAATAGGCGAGTGAGTCTCCAAGCGTCTTCCCACGTGGTGTAGGAAGGGTTGCTGCCGGGGTGAGGTCACGGTCGGTCACAGATTGAGGCTGTGAGGTCACAGTCAGCGTGAAGTCTGCTCCACTCTTCACACTGCCACTATGCGTTCAACAACTTTTTTTTTTTTTTTTTTTTTTTTTTTGATATATACAAGAGTTGTTACATTCTTGTACAGCCACTAGTACACGTAGCGTTTCGGGCAGGTCCCTGGAATACGATCCCCGCCGCGAAGAATCGTTTTTTCATCCAAGTACACATTTTACTGTTGCGTTAAACAGAGGCTACAGTTAAGGAATTGCGCCCAGTAAATCCTCCCCGGCCAGGATACGAACCCATGACATAGCGCTCGCGGAACGCCAGGCGAGTGTCTTACCACTACACCACGGAGACTGTTCTTACCACTAACTATTTTCAGTTACGCTATTTCTACTGTTTTTCTTCACTACCTTATGGTTTTAGTCAAAATCCCAGTTTTTTCATTCACTCCTATACACTTTTTTCACTTCGAAGTAGCCTGATCACCCCTCCCACTGACTGCACTAGTGACCCAGGAGCTCCCAAACCCACGTCCATCTAGCACGATGGTCACAACACAACTGTGTGTGTGTGTGTGTGTGTGTGTGTGTGTGTGTGTGTGTGTGTGTGTGTGTGTGTGTGTGTGTGTGTGTGTGTGTGTGTGTGTGTGTGTACTCACCTAGTTGTGTTTGCGGGGGTTGAGCTCTGGCTCTTTGGTCCCGCCTCTCAACCGTCAATCAACAGGTGTACAGATTCCTGAGCCTATCAGGCTCTGTCATATCTACACTTGAAACTGTGTATGGAGTCAGCCTCCACCACATCACTTCCTAATGCATTCCATTTGTCAACCACTCTGACACTAAAAAAGTTCTTTCTAATATCTCTGTGGCTCATTTGGGCACTCAGTTTCCACCTGTGTCCCCTTGTGCGTGTTCCCCTTGCGTTAAATAGACTGTCTTTATCTACCCTATCAATCCCCTTCAGAATCTTGAATGTGGTGATCATGTCCCCCCTAACTCTTCTGTCTTCCAGCGAAGTGAGGTTTAATTCCCGTAGTCTCTCCTCGTAGCTCATACCTCTCAGCTCGGGTACTAGTCTGGTGGCAAACCTTTGAACCTTTTCCAGTTTAGTCTTATCCTTGACTAGATATGGACTCCATGCTGGGGCTGCATACTCCAGGATTGGCCTGACATATGTGGTATACAAAGTTCTGAATGATTCTTTACACAAGTTTCTGAATGCCGTTCGTATGTTGGCCAGCCTGGCATATGCCGCTGATGTTATCCGCTTGATATGTGCTGCAGGAGACAGGTCTGGCGTGATATCAACCCCCAAGTCTTTTTCCTTCTCTGACTCCTGAAGAATTTCCTTTCCCAGATGATACCTTGTATCTGGCCTCCTGCTCCCTACACCTATCTTCATTACATTACATTTGGTTGGGTTAAACTCTAACAACCATTTGTTCGACCATTCCTTCAGCTTGTCTAGGTCTTCTTGAAGCCTCAAACAGTCCTCTTCTGTTTTAATCCTTCTCATAATTTTAGCATCGTCCGCAAACATTGAGAGAAATGAATCGATACCCTCCGGGAGATCATTTACATATATCAGAAACAAGATAGGACCGAGTACAGAGCCCTGTGGGACTCCACTGGTGACTTCACGCCAATCGGAGGTCTCACCCCTCACACCCTGTGTGTGTGAGTGTGTGTGAGTGTGAGTGAGTGTGTGTGTGAGTGTGTGTGTGAGTGAGTGTGTGTGAGTGTGTGTGTGTGTGTGTGTGTGTGTGTGTGTGTGTGTGTGTGTGTGTGTGTGTGTGTGTGTGTGTGTGTGTGAGTGTGAGTGAGTGTGTGTGTGAGTGTGTGTGTGTGTGAGTGTGTGTGAGTGTGTGAGTGTGTGTGAGTGTGTGAGTGTTTACCGCCACCCGGAGAGCATCATGAGGAGGTGAGTAAGACCATGGACATAACTCATGGCCTAAACAAACATCAATATATAACAAAACCCCAACAGACTAACCCTTTTTCCTTTGCCATTTCCTCTTTCTCTGTCTCTTTCCCTCTCTCTTTCTCTCTCCCGTTCTTTCTCCCTCTCTCTCTCCCTCTCTCGCTCGCTCTCGAGGATCTTGAGGTAGTTGTGCTGGTAGGCGTCGTAGATGGCGGCGGGGCCCACACTGACGGTGAACACTGTGCTGGGCGGCGGCTCCGTCTGCACCTCCAGGTCCTGCTACCGTCACGGCGGAGGGAGTGGGTGTAGTAGGGGCAAGGACATTCACAGTGGTTTAGAATGGGAAGAAAATAAGAAAAACTCAATATGTAATATCAAATAGAATGTGAAAATATATATGTGCATAAGGAAAGATTATTCATATACAGAAAATCAGAACGCATATATTTACATCATTCCAGTAGAAATAAACAAGCCAAGAAATAGTAGAAATAAACAAGTTTCCCTCATAATGTTTTAAAGATAAACTATGAGGGAAACTAATGCGAGTATTTACATGTATTTTACAACACACACAAGAAATAGAAATACAAAAGCTAGACAAGTTAATCAGCCGCATGACAGTCAGAATAGGCTACACAAAACCATTCAAGTTCAACAAGAAAAAAATGTTGGACAGAAAACAGATGCTTTCCCACTCATAGGGATATAAACTCATGGAACCGCCAACCCCCAAAGCTGTAAATGTCAAGATATTACTTCAGTTAAAAATCTAGAGTGAAAATTCCCCAGGAACGATAGGGGGACCTTCCACAAGCCGCTGATCTTCCGTCTCCCCGTCGAGGCCACTAGAGATGGTGACCCTCAGACACTCCAGGAACCATACCCACAGCTGGTAAGTACCCAGGATCTGTCTCTCCTACTGTCTCTGATGGTGACGTCTTTCTCTGCCCAGTTACCTGGCCCTCTGATTGTGCTCCTTTCATCACTGGCTTCATATACAAAATTGAAACACATGAAACAATCCTAAATCACGAAAAGAGCATAAAAAACAAACATAAAACAAATGTGAAACAAGAGTGAATCAAACATGAGAGAAGCGTGAAGCAAGTGTGAAACAAATATGAAACAAACATGAAATAAGCACAAAACATGCATTGAAGAATCATGAGACGAGGACAAGACAAGCATGAGACAAGAATGGAACATCCATGAAACAAGCATGGAAAAAGCATGAGATGAGCATGAGACAAGGGCAAGACAAGTGTTAGACGAGCACGAGACAGGCACGAGACAAGCACGAGACAAGCAGGAGACAAGCAGGAGACGAGCGTGAGACAGGCACGAGGGACTGACTCTGGAGGTGAACCTGGTGGTCTGGGAGACCCTCTCGGTGAAGGTGAAGGGGTTGGGCTGGGAGTCAAGGCGGGCCATCTCCTCCCTGGTCAGCAGGTCTTCATACACCTCCTCCAGCAGTCTCGCAGCCTCCTCACTTCCTTCATCTGTTGTGGGGATAGACACGTGTGTGGGAGTGGGTTGTGGGTGGCATGAGAGCTGCCTATCCCATACTGCTGCCCCAGTGCAACCATCCCACACTCCCTGTCCTTCCTAACCTTGGCATTGTTCCTCAGCCTCATTACCAAATTATCGTTTAATCAGGAAATCTGATGCAATCCCTTACATCAATCCCCATCAACCTGCTTTACCATATAGTACTGACACCTTCAAATCAACTACACCAGAGATGAAAGATGCATGAGCGTGTGAGACTGTCAAGAAAGATGTGCCCTCTACAGTTCTGTGAACCAATATGGATGAGGTTACACACAAGGCGACTTAACTCGAAGAACAGAGGATAGAGCAGAACCCACGTGTAATTGCACTCACAGAAATGAAACTGTTAGGATTCATAACTAATGCACTATTTCCCCAAGACTATCACGTTATAAGGATGGAGACAGAAAGTAGACTGGTAGAAAATAGATCTGTTGATTAGGAAGATGTAGACATCCAAGAAACTGTCAATCACCACACAGTGAAGTATTCAGTGACTATATAACAGAAGGGAGGACCTAAGATAGGCGCAGCACTGGTATACAATCCTCCACAAAACGACATAAGATACACGAAGAAGCATGAGTCATTGTAGGACAGTTATTGCTATTCAGGAAACAACTGCGTTAGCTGCAAACAAAAATGGGTCTCAACTCTTGATCTTAGGAGGCTTCAACCATGGCTAAATAGATTGGGAGGACAGGGACACCTCACACGGAGAGCTAAATGCATGAAAACGGTATGAAGAAACTTCTCAAGCCAACATGTCAATAGATCAACATGTGAGGTAAAAATTACCCAGTCAGACTTGATGCAATTTTCACAGTGAATGAGTCAGACGTAAGGAAAGTTGCCTTAGCGGTTCCCTTGGGAAAGAGCTATCATACTGATATGTGATCATCTTATGGAAGTTAGACTCCTCAGTTCTGTTAATTAAATAACCAGAAGGAAGAATCCTGTCATACATAGAGGAAAGTATGAGGAAATAAAAACAATTAATTAAGGCTACCAGGAGATAATACCGAGACCCAGTGGGCAGGACATGCTGGAGTAACGTTGACTTCCCAGTGGGTACACTGGACAAGAATGGCGTTGGTCCGATGTTAAAGCAACGATGATTGTGTTAATTCGACGCTGTTCTTTGACATTGTGTTCACTGGGCCAACTTTATGACACAAAATGGAGGCATTCTGTCACACCACGTACGTGAGACCAGTCAATGGTATGCAACCCCTGAGAGATGAAGTTGTTGTGAAGGAACAACCCGTCCTCGACTCAAATCCATTACATCCAGCGGTCGACCCCACAGACGCATTCATAAATTTTTCATGCTGTTCATTCAAAACGGGAATGTTCTCAAATATAAATTAAAATTATAATATATTAGCATAGTGTGCATATATTTAGACATAGGTTAAGTTAAGTCAGGTGTTTAGGTTCTGTTGGCGATTATTTGTATTTGTAGTACGTGGGTGAAGCATTTACAGCGTTGTGGTTCGAATAAAATTCGTCAGTGAAGCACTTGTTCCTGAAGTGTTCGAACGTCAGCAGTAATGAGTCATGTGTAAACCGTTTTCATTCATAAACAGCGGGTGTGGTGGATGCATGGAATGGACTTGGGGTTTTGTTTATGAGAACAGGATGAAAGGAAAGCGGAAAAAGAGTTTTACACACACACACACACACAGAGCTAGGAGAAGATGGAGGAGGAGGAAATATGGAGGGAAGTAGAAGGTGTGACAGACCTGGCGGGTGTTGCCTGATGTTCTGGTGACGGGTGTCCTGGTACAGGTCCCTGTGCACGGTCCTGGAGGGCAGGGTCAACAGGTCGAGCACCAGGTCGTCGGCCCTCACCCCCTGGTAGCTGGTGGTGGTGAAGCTGTACCGCACCTGACTCTTGCTCCACGCACTGGTCGATGTTAGCCGGATGGTCACCTCTGGCTCCCGCGTCCCCTGCTGGCAGGTCACCCTCGTCACTCTCTCACACTCGTTACTCCTCCCTCGTCACTCTCTCACCCTCGTCACTCTCTCTCCCTAGTCACTCTCTCTCCCTAGTCACTCTCCCTATAGTCACTCTCCCTATAGTCACTCTCTCTCCCTAGTCACTCACTCTCCCTATAGTCACTCTCTCACCCTCGTCACTCTCTCTCTCTCGTCACTCTCACCCTCGTCACTCTCTCACCCTCGTCACTCTCTCTCCCTAGTCACTCTCTCTCCCTAGTCACTCTCTCTCCCTAGTCACTCTCTCTCCCTAGTCACTCTCTCTCCCTAGTCACTCTCTCTCCCTAGTCACTCTCTCTCCCTAGTCCCTCTCTCTCCATAGTCACTCTCTCCCTAGTCACTCTCTCCCTAGTCACTCTCTCTCCCTAGTCACTCTCTCTCCCTAGTCACTCTCTCTCCCTAGTCACTCTCCCTATAGTCACTCTCCCTATAGTCACTCTCTCTCCCTAGTCACTCACTCTCCCTATAGTCACTCTCTCTCCCTAGTCACTCTCTCTCCCTAGTCACTCTCTCTCCCTAGTCACTCTCTCCCTAGTCACTCTCTCCCTAGTCACTCTCTCTCCCTAGTCACTCTCTCTCCCTAGTCACTCTCCCTATAGTCACTCTCCCTATAGTCACTCTCTCTCCCTAGTCACTCACTCTCCCTATAGTCACTCTCTCTCCCTAGTCACTCTCTCTCCCTAGTCACTCTCTCTCCCTAGTCACTCTCTCTCCCTAGTCACTCTCTCTCCCTAGTCACTCTCTCTCCCTAGTCACTCTCTCTCCCTAGTCACTCTCTCTCCCTAGTCACTCTCTCTCGCCCTCGTCACTCTCTCTCGCCCTCGTCACTCTCTCTCGCCCTCGTCACTCCTCCCTAGTCACTCACACTGGTCATTCACACTCACCCTCGTCACTCTCTCACCCTCTTCACTCCTCCCTAGTCACTCACACTGGTCACTCACACTGGTCACTCACACTGGTCCCTTGCCCCTCACATTCACTCTGGTCCCTTGCCCTCACACTCACTCTGGCCCCTTGCCCTCACACTCACTCTGGTCCCTTGCCCTTACACTTACCCAGGACCCTTGTCCTCACACTTACCCTGGTTCCTTGCCCCTCAGACTTTCCATGGTCCCTTGCCCTCACACTCGCCTTGGTAAATCATCCTGTTCACTTTGTCCTAGTCACTCTACCCTAGTGACTCACTCTGGTCACTCGCCCTGGTCTTTCACACTCACCCTGGTTACTCACACTCACCCTAGTCAGTCACTCTCACCCTCCCTCACACTACCCAGGTCCCTCCTCCCACACTTGTCAGGTCAACATTCAAAACATCCACATGTCAACAATTAAACAACTTGACCCAGATCAACACAAAGGTTCTTGAGCAACATGTTAGAGTGTAGAGACTGTGAGGGGCTGGCCTCCAGCCTCACAGTGGGTGGTGAGAGGCTGGCCTCCAGCCTCACAGTGGGTGGTGAGAGGCTGGCCTCCAGCCTCACAGTGGGTGGTGAGAGGCTGGCCTCCAGCCTCACAGTGGGTGGTGAGGGGCTGGCCTCCAGCCTCACAGTGGTGCTCCACTAAACAAAACATTCTAAGTAACCAACTTTGTTTCAAAATTCACTCAAACGCACTAATGAACGTGTTGCAGCAAACGTGCAAAAATGATTTTGCAACACGCAAGCTAAGGCAAAAAAATATTTATTTAAAAAATTTAAAAACAAAAAGTCATTATATATATGTATATATATATATCTATATATATATATATATATATATATATATATATATATATATATATATATATATATATATATATATATATATATATATATATATATATTCAAAAATTAATCCAATCATTATGGATAAAAAATCTAGTACTTGCAGGCTGTCTTCAGAGACCAGGCTGGAGCAGAGTTTACTGGTGACGTGACTCAGTGGGCAGCTGAGGTGGGCCGAGGAGGCTCCCAGGGGGTCCCCTCCCATGGGGGGGGGGGAGATGAGTGGGTGGGTCTTGGGGGATGAGTGGGGTGGGTCTTGGGGGATGAGTGGGGTGGGTCTTGGGGGATGAGTAGGGTGGGTCTTGGGGGATGAGTGGGTGGGTCTTGGGGGATGAGTGGGGTGGGTCTTTTTGTTTATTGAGCTGAATTTCCACTCGTTTGGGGCTGAAAACCTGTTCGACTTATCGAGGTCTCCTCCATCCAACTCCCCACCTTCACCAGGGGGCAACACACAACAGTTAACTAATTCCCAGGCACCTGTTTACAGCCAGGTGAACAGAGGCATCAGGTAAATGGAACCGTTGCTCAGCCTCGTAATGGAATCCGGGACCATTCAGGTGTGAGGCACCTGAGATTAGTGGCGGGTGGATTAGTTTTTTTAGTGAGTAATGAGTTAGTAGTGCAGCCCTGATGAGTAGTGGTGGAGAATGTTAGGGGACTCTTCAAGTGGGTCAGCATTTATCAAGCCTTCATGTAACCACTTTCGCAACCTGTACTTCTTTCCTCAATAATGGCGGCTTTGTTTACAATTATTAAACAATTTACGAGCTGGGTAACTTCACTAACCCAAGGCTATTGTTGTTATAATTGTAAATGTTCATCTAAACATATTATTCATATAAACAAAGCCTCCATGATCGAGGAAAGATGTACAGGTTTCAGAAGTCAATACTTGATAAATCCTGTAGTGTTGGAGGTCCTCCTCGACACCCCAGGCAGCCATATCTTACCTGAACATCGTCCTCAAAGTCGTAACGGCGCCTCAGGCGGAGTCTAGGAGCCACTCGCGCAAACATTCTTTATCACTTGTTTAACGCACTTTATTATTTAACAAAGAAACAAGAAAGAACATAAACACTAGTTAAGGTTAAATGTTTAAAGCTTTAAAATTTGCGATGGCCAGCTTGATCGGAGAGAGCGTGCCCTTAGAGACAACTGGGATCCACCATATTATAGTGTTTCCGCTTTACAACATATTTGGCAAAGGATTTGTTTCTTATTTAATTCATAAGTCAGCAGGAGGCTGAGAGAAGCAGCACTATGCACCACTACACCTGACAGTAACTGGCGCTCTGTTTGTAAATCAAAATAAGTTAAAAATTCATATAAAAATTGGTTCCAGATGACAAACTGAAAATTTAATTTCTTCTAAAGGGCAACACTTCGTACTCCATTCAAACATTACAGTCATGTTTACCATAGGCCTACCTTGCTGGGTGTAACCAAGCACGAATAAAACAATAGAGTTAGCGAATATTAAGGCTGTAAGGTGGAATCGAACCCAGGACGCTGAATTTTTCAGGTACACTCATTACCGACTGGACCATCAAAGGATATTAACTCAGTATGGTCCATTCAGTAGCGCATGTCCACACGCTCAAGGACGTTGTTCAATTCCATCTTATAGCCTCAATATTAATAAATTCCTTGCATTCTTGTGCAATTTAGCTAGCCTATCATAATTTCAACGGCCAAAAGGATCTCTGAACAAATGATTTAAATAAACAATGTCATTAGTTATAGTTTACATATAAGACAGGACAGGCAAGCTACCCTAGCAAGCAAGACATTAGTGTTTAGCGGCAAATGTGATCACTGGGTTAAGGGCTAGCAGGAGGGCGGGCTGGCTTACTTCCTGGTGACTGCGGCCCGCGTCCTCAGGTTAGTTAGTTCATTAAATAACTAAGCACATGCGGTGCATTTTATTATTATTTATAAAATGCATTTATCAACTGGACTTGGTGATTCTAATGAGTGTCGATCCTCCCTGTGGGAACTACTTGGATATTTTTTTAGATATTTATGATGCTCTGAAGGCTAATTAAGGTTCCATTAACTGTCTTTTGGTCAACTTGCAAGTAAACCTGTCCTAAACAGAGAATATTCTTAAATTATAACTATTATTTTAAACCCAACCATTATATTTGACAAAGTCTCTGGTATACATACTTTCTGTGATAAACCCTAAGGACAACGTTTTCTTTAATAGCAAATTCTTGGCGATACTCAAGCAAGCCAGAATTTTATACATTCCACATGTTTGAGAAAGCAATAAACTGACAATACACCTAACATAACCCAATGTAACCTTACCAAATATAGAAAGTACATCAAATAACTAATTCCATACTGCATTTTGGTACTATTAATATAATGCAAGGATATACTAGGTATTGTGATTACCACGAAGGCACATAATCCTTGAGGATGGGTTGCAATGATTGACAGACATACACCATGCTCCATGCCAGAACACCCATCCACCTCCACCAAGCCTCGCCCCACTCACTCCTGCAAAGCCCCATGCCCGCCTGCAAAGAGCCATGTGTGTCTTGATGCACGCTCTCTTGCAAAGCTACACCTCCTCCTGTGAAGCCTCGCATAATCCTGTCCCATCCCACACCCTATGAAGTATCACGCCCTCTTAAAACCGTTCATTGCCCTCCTGCAAAGTCCCACTCCCTCCCAAACCGTTTATTGCCTTCCTGCTAAGCCTCATTCCCTCCCAAACCCGTTCAATGCCCTCCTGCAAAGCACCACACCCTCCTAAAACGTTCAATGCCCTCCTGCAAAGCACCACACCCTCCTAAAACGTTCAATGCCCTCCTGCAAAGCACCACACCCTCCTAAAACGTTCAATGCCCTCCTGCAAAGCACCACACCCTCCTAAAACGTTCAATGCCCTCCTGCAAAGCCCTACTCCCTCCCAAACCTGTTCATTGCCCTCATACAAAGACCCACTCGCGCCAAACCCCTTTATTGCTCAACTGAAAAGCCCAGTTCCCTCCCAAACCTGTTCATTGCCCTCCTGCAAAGTCCCACTCCCTTCACGGGGGCAAGGATGGAACGACACAAGGAGGAATATTGGTAACACGAACTGAAAGAGAACCTTGCAAGCGAGGCAACCGTACAGAAAGAGGTAGCTGGTGAAAGGGAAGAGTGTCTACAGGAGGAGTAACGGTCAAAGTACGACATAGGCGAGAATGAGGGTGTTGTAGGGACCGCGCAAGGTAGCGAAGACTGTAGCAATCACAGCGATCTTGTAGACACACAACGCCGGTTTCAACATACAGGCTGAGGGTAGGAGTCGAGCGAAAGGCACCAGAGCTGAGGCAAAACCCAGTATGGTACAGAGTATCAAGACGGTGAAGAGTAGAAGGAAGGGAAGGGAACTATCAGAGGGAAAGCGCCAAGCCATTAAGACTATATATAGCACTGGGAAGGGGTCAGGATAAGGATATGGGAGAGAGTAGAAGGAGAAGCAGACGAGTTAGCAGGACAACCATAATCGAGTTTAGACAGTATGAAAGAGGAATGTAAAGAGAGGAGTGTGCGCCTATCAGCTCCCCAAGAAGTATGGGACAAAACCTTAAGTAAGTTAAGGGCATTAGACCATTCAACATGGAGGTAAGAGATATGAGGCGACCAAGACAAACGAGTGTCAAAGATTAAACCCAAAAGTTTAGCAGAATCCTTATAGAGAAGAGGATGACCATAAAGCGACAAAGGGGGTCGAAGAAGGACCTGCTTCCGAGTAAAGGTCATAGCACAAGTCAAATCAAATGTTTATTTAGGTAAGGTACATACATACAAGAGATTTTACAAAGAGTGATGGAATCTTAGCAGTAGAAATGTTGAAGCCATGATTGGTGGCCCAGGACGACATGGCATCAATCGCAAGTTGAAGCCGCCGTTGGAGTAAAGATGAGACATCACCTTGACAGCAAATGGTAAGATCGTCAACATAAAGAGCTGAGAAGTGCCAGAGGGAACGGAGGAAAGAAGACCTTTCAGGGCAACCAGGAGAAGAGTAGTGCTCGTACACCTTCGTATTGCCGAAAAGAGGCAGAGAGAGTGGCACCAAGCCTCAGTCGAAAGGAACGACGAGAGAGGAGGCTCTGGAGGAGGAGAGAGAGATTACCACTAAGGCCAAAAGAACGGAGTTGGGACAGAATATAATATCTCCAGGTGGTGTCGTAACCCTTTTTCCAGGTGAAAAAGGACAGCAACCACGGAGGTGTTCGCAGCAGTGTTCTCTAGGGGATGACCCTAGAGAACCAGGTTTCCGAACAGGAAGAACAACCACCTCAAGCCAGTCCTCAGGGACTGACGACAGCTCCTAGACA